AGCTATTGACATATTGTCTAATTTTCTTTTTGGTTCAGTTGGCAAGTACTGCACTGTCAGGGCATTACTATGATGAAAATGATACTTTGCTAAAAAATCCAACGCAAATACACTCTTCGAACTCGTTCATTGCATCAAATTACCACTAATCATTTCATCAAAAGTAATTCAAATAAAAACACATCATTGAGCGTCAGTTAAAATATACTGGTCGAAATATGCCACAATAGTTGTTTTTGAATTCTCTAAAATATGCACTGATGTAAAGAGGAAGTAACTGTGAACACCTACTCTTGATACCTTAATATAGAAGGGCTTTTGAAAGTTTCAAAATTATTAACATAGGGCATTACATGAGTTATAAATAGTTTTTTTTGGTATGCAGTATAGACTCTTTCTTCATCGTCAAATCATGATATTTTCAATTCCACTTAATGTTTGAAAGAATCGAAGGTAATTAGATGAGACTGCACAATAACACAAATAAATGTGCTGGAATAATGCAAACAAAATAGGCCAGCAACATAACAGAATACACCAGGCAACTATAAGGATATTATCCAGGCCTATCTACATTTACTTTAATTCTATCACATAATATAAACAGAAGCATCCCTGATTGGCAAGCAATAACAAAACTGGCATTTCAAGAGGGCACAGATCTGAGTCAGTGTAGTATTATGTAGCAGTCTATCTTTCCTTTCCACTTTGCTGTTGGTAGATTAAGATTAGGGGTCAAATGAGAAAATGATTATGAAACAGTAATACGGACATTGTAATAGTTTTTGAATTAAGTCATATTTACTGTTTTCGATGAAGCTCCATCACTCCAACCGCTCCAACGTCCATTGGCTGTTTACATTGATCTCAAAGCGAGACTAAATATTTTGAACCAAACTTGGAGGCTGTACGCTGCATATTTCTCAGCGTACAGGACCATTGTTTTAGCTGAGTAACTGTAAATACACTTCATGGAGCGCAATTTGATTGGTTGAAGCATTTTTTGATCAATAGCCCCAAAGCATTTTTTAGTTATTACAATTTTACGTCGTATTAATATTTTTTCTGAGAAATCTCAGGGTATTCACTGAATACCTTGAATACCCGGATGCTACGCCACTGCTAACAGAGTGTTATCTTTTTACCTTATAACAATACCCATAAACTCAATGTAACATGCGATAAGAATTCCTCTTTCTGATACTTCATACTTCTGTATTTTAGGTCATCTGGGCAATTAAAACCAACTATAAAGAAGCTGAAAAGCTGAAATGTTAAGAGACTATGGAGGGGACATGATGTATGTTACAACAAGCTGTTGTTTTAAATGATAATTGTAGAACATATTTTATAATATTTGACTAAATGTTGTTTTTCTGCTCTCTTTTGCTGTAATTTTACAAATTAATACATGCAGTCATGGCTTCTCATGCTGATTCTAGCAAATATCTACAACTGAATTGAGTAAATTAAGATATATTTATTTAAGAGTAAAAATTTGAAGTGTGACATGGAGAAAAATCTTCTATGCCTCTGGTTTTTTCAGTTAAATGTCAACCAGAACTGTAAGATAAAATTTTCCATAGTGGCCAAATTTTTCATTCGGGTAAAGAAATGAAAGCATTTTGCACGATATACCAATCTACCAGGAGATATTTATTATCAGAAAAAATTCCTGCCAATCAGCTTTTCACAACAAATATTCTTCCATTTCTTCTTTGAAATAAAATTTTTTGTATCCTCATTTAATAACTTGAGTTACTCACAGCCCAAATTCAGCTCGTGAAAGATTTCTGTCGTTAAACACTACCTGTAGATGAAGCAAGAACTTTGCTGCTTTTGTACTTAAAAACTTTTGGCACATCCCTCACTATATGCACCAAGATGCCACACTAGGAAGTGTCATCTTACTCTATCAAGGTATAGGAATTCGTGGAAAATATAAAAACCAATTTATAGGTCAATGTTAATTTGAAAGCCAATTGTCAAATGCCTTTATTTATTGTCAACATATTATCTGGGGGATTTGAGAGACATAGTTAGCCCAATGGCAATGTTAGATGTTTCAAGTAAAAAAATCGGCATTTAATACTAGATCTCACTAGTCTTACTAACCAAACAAGTGAGGAATTAGACATGCTGGATAAATGGTCAAGAGTAAATAAACACAGGTAAATATTCTAAAGACTCAACTCGAGATGGATGCATTTTGAGCATTTCGAAACATCAAATGGCCACTACTGTTACCTCAGCGAACAGGGGGTACCTTTGAATTCACTTAGATGATAGACTTTCCAAAGGTCGCCTTTGTGGTGAAAGATTTTCTACAGGTCTTAAGTTGATTTTTATAGTCTTGAAAATGATTTACTCGGCGTTAAAAGCTTTTAGTTCCACTTCAAGAAAGGTCATAAATAAAATAGAATTTTTCAGAACAGAATTTAGATTTTTTAAGGCTTTTCAGCAAGATCATGACTATTCAACAGATTGATCAATAAACAAACTCTCTAAACCGAACACTCGAATCACAAAGCATTAAACTTTCGAATCAAACAAGAAATAGGCAGTAAGCGTGATTTGCAACGAAGGGGCAGAATTAAGAAAGTGTCCAGAATTAAGGACATTAGAAATTCAAAAGCGAAAAAAGGCTTTGAAAAAAGCAAACATTTGAGTAAACTAAAGCTTTTCGTCTGACACTCTTCAGAGTTTAAAACGTCAGAACATAGATCAAAAACTCCACGCTAGGAAATATATATACCCAGTTGTGGATCGAAAAGGCCAATCAGAAACGCGATGTTGAGGTTGACCAATCAGTGCCACTTGCCTAAAAGAGTTCCGTTGTATATAAATTTACGTGCCAGTGTGATTCTGGCAACGTAGGACGCACCACCCAGAGATTGGAGGATAGAATAAAACAACATGTTCCGTCTAATATTAGAAACCGAACTCATCCCCAAAGAGAACAGCCACCTCGGTCTTGCAGATCTAAAAGTAGAACTAAAACCTGCGATTCTGCTATCGGGCAGCATTTACTGGAAAACCCAGATTGTGCAAAAAAACTATAATGGCCACATGTTTCGGATTATTGGTAAAGCCCGATCGTCGTTCCATCTAGCAGTTTTTGAATCTATCTACATAAGCACGAAAAAACCGCTAATGTTTTTGCTTCGAGAACAGAAGTTTTCTTAAATGTTTCCGACTGTTCAGTACTCGTTTCTTAAAGCCAGTTTATTATAAAAAAAGAGTGTAATCAAGATTGAATAGTATCTTGATATAACACTAGAATCAATTTTCTACTGCATTTAATTCCCCTAAAACTGGAAAGGTTATTAAAGATTTTGCGTAACTGACGAAAGTTTCCTTTAGTTAAAAAGCTAAGGACCCAACCTTGGCTGGTATTCTGGGTATGAAAAATGAGTCCAGGGTGCCACAAGTCTGTACGATACATCAGTCTAAGGCTGCGTTTACACGATACCGGATTGCTTTTCATATCGGATTGGTCTCAGCTATCCGATATGAAAAGCATACCGTTTAGACTGCGTTTACACGATACCGTTTTCATCCTGTTTACACGACAACGCTCCGCTATTCACTGTGCAGCATACTTCTTTTGTTTCGATTTTTAGCAATGTAAAATTCTGGTGATTTCGTTAGTCTGCTGAGGAGAGGAAGGTCTCGCGAAAAAATAATCACTTTAGTATAGAATATGAGTGCTGGCCAGTGGCATAGAAGAAGAAAATGTAAGCAGAAGGGGGAGGCAGAAGTAGAATTGCAGCCTGAATCGGTAAAGGCATATGCCAGTGAATGCCTTTTTGAGGGAAGGGATTGAAAAGATGTAATGTCGAATGCTGACAAGATAAAATAGTTTATGGTGAACGTTACCCGAAGGGTAGAGATGTAGAATCCGTTGATGAGAACTTTCCTTGAGATTCAGAACGAGGTTCCGGAGTGAAAGCGTATCGGATTCACCCGTTTACACGAGATGGAATGTGGTACGGGACGTATCGGATCACTTTTCATACCAGTTTCATAGCGGAGTGATTTCACTCCGCAAAAGTGGTACGGGACGTATCGGATTAGTGCAGGGCCGTGTAAACGGGACCCCTATCCGATATGAAAAGTAATCCGATACGTGAGTAATCCGGTATCATGTAAACGCAGCCTAAATCAATGGTCTGTTGGTTAGCATTTAATGCCAGGGACGGAGATGATGGGGGTGGCCTTGGCACCCGGTTGCCTCTTTACGCCATTGATTGAAGTACAGTTGAAGTTAATCAGCGCGACAGTCTGAAAAAATTGAAGTTTTCAAAACTAAAGCAAAAATCGCCCAATTCGTCATCATCTCTGTTTCTTTACTATATCAAGTGTTAACTGTACTGAATTTCAGCAAAGGTTTGTTCATTTTATTTTAAATTCAACTTTAACATTTCAATATCAATATTTTTAGGTAGATATAGCAATCATTATGTTTGAATACAGCAAAAATTTCAAAATTATTGCAGGTTAATAGATGATTGGATACTGAAGTAATCGTAGAAATATTGCGCAACTTAGACTTGAAATTCATAGTAGCAATGTAAACGAATTGGACAAAATATATTTTAAATGGTGTAGCTTGAAGGATATTAATGTTTTGTTTATAGGAAGTTTATTAATGATAAAATATTTTGTTGATAAGAAGTTTAAAGAAAATTGGATTGGGGTTTTCAGTAATAAATAAATAAATAAATAAATAAAATGGGTAACATGTTAAGCACACCGGCCAAGACTTTCGTTTTAATTTTCTTATTTCGATCGAGAGCACAGGGAAAACTTCTGTTTTTCGTGTCTCCAATTTTTCTCAAGGCGAGTTTTTTGTTTGAAAGGAAATGAAAATCACAGCAACTCTTACACGTGATCTAAATTATGAAAATGATTGGCCAATCGGTCAAGTTCTGACAGATACCGCGGGATTCAAGCAGCTTCCGGTTTCCGGTCTGCTGAGCGAAACACCTTGTACCAAGCACAGTAGCCTACAATTCAAGATTTCAGGAGGAGGAGGAAAGAGCTCAGGGAAACTTGAGATTTCTTGCCTTCAAGATGCGGATTTTAGCGATTTTAACTTTTTTATGTTTTCAAAAAGCTGCACCTCAAATTTTGCAGCCACCATACTTTGATATAGCTAAAGGAAAACCGATAACTGCTACCTCGACATGCGGGGAGGGTCTAGGCCCAGACGATGGCAAAGAGCTCTTCTGTAAATTGGCCGAAGCTCCTGGACGTGTAGCAATAAAAGGACAGTATTGCGACTATTGCTACCCTGGAAATCACAGCATTGAATACGCAAACGACGGAGCAGAAAAATGGTGGCAGTCGCCTTCGCTTTCAAGGGGTTTGCAGTATGAGAAAGTCAACATAACCATCGACCTTGGTCAGGTATAGGACTTAACATTTTTTAGATATTCGTTGTGTGGGTCATTTCTGTCGGCATGCCCAGAATAAAAAATTTTCCTTTTTATATTAAATTCAATTCATCAAAAAATTCAACTCATATTCAAATGCAGTTTTGAATACTTTATGGAGGTTAAGGTTGACTTCGAATTTTTGTTTATGTTGCAGCTATTTCGTTACACACGCTCATATAATTCTGTTCCATTGGTGAAACAAAATGGGGGGGGTAATCAAGTCAAACAGTTGTCATTATTTCACTTGTTTGTTGTTTATTGATATTCTGTACCACAGAACCAAGACCCCCTTTAAGGCAAATTTCAGTCGAAGATCGAGGATATCCTTTCCTCAGAATTTCGAGTCGCGTCGAAGGATTCTTTGATCCATGACATTTTTGTGGCTACCCAAGTGAAATCGGATTTCCATTCCGGAACACGCCTTTGTTCATCATTGTCCACACTCCTTTGACAAAGCAAATAACAATAGAAAATGAACTGCAAATGTTCACAGTTGGCCGTAAGTATCCTGGGTGTTGTTCCCGCTTTCTTTTCCGACCGAGCCCCAAGGCATGCGGTTTGGTCTTGAGAAATATGGAACAAAGCCAGTTCAGTTTGCGCCATTAGAAATCGTTTATTGTCAGATTGGCTAGAGTTATCTATTGGCCTTTTGCTCGATCTTGGTGCAAATTGCAACAAATATGTATATTTAGGACACTGAGGCATATAAAAAAGTAGCAGTAAATGATAAATCAGTTAATGCTTCTCTGATTCAAAGAATCACATGATAGGTTGATAGGAACTGGGGCCATAGAGGACACCTACCCCCACTTTTCAAAAACAGAGATAAAGCAGTGGCTGATGCATTGTCAAATATCGGGAGGATGGAGGAATCCTATTGTTTTGATAAGATGATGCCAAATTTGTCCATTGTTTTAGAACAAAAGACCATTGTCTTCAAAAATATTTGGGGGTGACACCCTTTGCCCCCCTAGGTGTCAGCTACTGAGGTAAAGTGTAGAAAAATTCCATTAAGTCACAAGTTCACCTGAGAATGTACTCCCCAACACCTATTGTAGTGAAGAGAGATCAAAATGACTGTTGCCCCCATTGTGGTAATTGATCAAAAATTGGAAGGGATACCTGAATTTATTCTTGGGGTTCCTTTCGAGTACTGGTACATCCTGGTGCACAGGGGTTGGCTATTGAATCAAATGGTATCATATTTGGTAATGGAAAAAGAAACTGCATTTTAAATTACTTGGGACAAAGCCATAGAATGTGATCTGGATACTGCTATGAAATTCAGAAGATCCATTTGAGCCCATTGCTAGAATTTGACCTTTCTCCGTGGCACATTACCATAACAAAGAATATCCAATGTGCCAGGGTTTTAAACACCACTGCATTTAGCCATATTGAATATTGTCAAATTATACTTTGATATGTGAACAATTTTTTTGCGGTACAGAATTTGAAAATGGCTTTGAAAAAAGCAAACATTTTACGACATACTAAAAGCTTTTTCGTCTGACACTCCTCAGAGCAAAAACGTCAGAATAGGTTCCGAAAAAAACATGATGGAAAAATATATACCCAGTTGTGGATCGAAATAGGCCAATCAGAAAAACGCAAGCACAAGACCGGTATAGTTGACCAATCAGTGCCGCGAGCCTACAGAAAAATTACCAATGGAGTCCAAGAGAGAAAACGAACTCCTTTTGTCTACACAATGGCGGCTTTTTCGTTTTTATGTAGATTGACTCCAAAACTGCTAGATGGAAGGACGACCGGGCTCTGCCAATTATCCGAAACATGTCGTCATTATAGAGTTTTGCACAATCTGGGTTGTCTAAAAGATCTTGACCAATGGCAGAATCACTTGTTTTAACAGTGTTTCTAGACCTACAAGATCGAGGAGGCTGTTCTCTTTGAGGGGCAGTTTTGTTTCGTATGTTGGAAGGAACATGCTGTTTTATCCTATCCCCCAATCTTTGGGTTGTGCGTCCTACGTAGCCAGAATCACACTGGCACGTAAATTCATAAATGACGGAACTTTTTTGTTTGGTAGGAACGCAATCCTTTTGAATCGCGGCACTGATTGGTCAACTATACCGGTCTTGTGCTTGCGTTTTTCTGATTGGCCTATTTCGATCCACAACTGGGTATATATTTTTCCATCGTGTTTTTTTCGGAACCTATTCTGACATTTTTGCTCTGAGGAGTGTCAGATGAAAAAGCTTTTAGTATGTCGTAAAATGTTTGCTTTTTTCAAAAGCCACTTTGATATGTTTAGGGGAAGAGAAGAAGAGAGTCCTATAAAAGAGAAGTCATCCTGTGTCACAAACGTTTTCTCTAAAATTCAGGAATGCTGAAATTCAGGTGTTTTCATAAATAGGTATAGGAGAACCTTTCATGGAGGGGTGAGCGTTAGAAGCCACAATTCCTGTAATGAAATGCCTTGTATGGATTGCTTGCAGTCCCGGTAAAGCTACAAGCCAGTAAAACACAAAATGTTTAAACTTCGTCTAGATCAAAGAGTATACAGTAGACTGGATTCTTAACTATCCCAATTTATGAAAAAATTACAGTAAAACAGCAATGGACAAAAGCAACAAGCAATTGTTACCATTTTGATATTTTCAAAAAGTAAATGTTGCTGTAGCTTTGGTAATTTTTTGTAGTTCCGTGTATATTCTTTGTGCTAAGATCAAAACTTGTTTTGCTTCCATATAGGTTTATCATGTTGCATACATCATTATCAAAGCAGCTAATTCCCCACGACCTGGAGTTTGGTCTCTGATGAGATCTAAAGATGGTGGTAAAACCTTCACTCCTTGGTACTACTTTGCTTCAACTCCAAATGAATGTTTGACATATCATAAAACGTCACATCTATTGCCTTTGACCAGAGATGATACAGTTCTTTGCAAGCTGGAGTACTCACAGGTTCCTCCATTTGAAGATGGAGAGGTTCGTTTAATTTGTTTCTTCTGACATGATAAAATCTTTCTTTGTGCTTTTGTTTACTTGTTTGAAGTTCAGGCAAGACACAAAACTCAAAATGGCAAGATAAAACTACACAGCACTAAAACTACAAGATAAAACTAAAAATATGCTTATGATTATCTCTTTCATATAAAAAGGCTGATTACGTCTTAGATATTCAGGGGAACATCTCCTGAAGAGTGAGTTACTCACGAAACAGGCTTGTAGAGATAAACCATGTAGTTTTACTTTCTTCAATCTATGATATATCACGCTCTACGTGCTAACGTATTGAGCACTGTGCTACGGAAGTATCAAAAGACAAATTTCTATATCCTGTTTTATATATCCTTAATATTATCCTGTTTCATTTCAGATTCACATCTCACTTGTCAATAACAGACCAGGAGCATCCAACTTCTCTGTCAGTCCAGGATTGCAGGTACTCATCAATTTACATATATAGATTTATCTTATCTTTAAGAATAACTTAAAATACGAAAGGGAAGCCTTGTTGTAATCATGTACATATTGTATTCTAGGAGTGGACAACTGCCTCTCACATTAGATTGCAATTTATGAAGGTAAAAACTCTCCTTGGGGATCTCATGCCATTGTCCCTACAGGATCCGACAGTCACCAGAAGGGTGAGTTTTATTTTTGATTAATAGTGGAGTAGTGGATAAACATAATTCCTTTGAACACCCATCATTGAACTGGTCACTTCCTGAGGCTTAAGATGCAAATGTAGCAGGGAACTGCAATTTTGATACCAGTCATCTTTCACTTTTTCCACAGAGCATGCAAGCATGCATCGCTCAAACCTGCATGCTTGCATGCTCTGCCGCATTCATTACAGGATTCCTTATGTAAAGAAGAGACTGCATAAACCAAGCAAGTGTAGTAATTCTGCTTTTACATCAATTCCAACATGTCCGGCTAACATTGTTAGCCTAACACTATAGAAACATTTAGATTTAATTCAATTTAAGCTTAAGCAATATCATCTTACTAGGGGAAATTTTTTCTTGTAGTACTACTACTCAATAAAAGAAATATCTATTGGTGGAAGATGTATGTGCAATGGGTTCGCAGATAGATGCGTTAAGGTTGATGAAGATCCAAGCAATTACAGATGTGACTGCCAACACAACACATGTGGACCACGCTGTGACAAATGCTGCCCTGGTTATGTCCAGAAAAAATGGAGATCTAGACAAGGATCTGTTAACTTTGTCTGTGAACGTAAGTTTTAATTTGTCTCTTATAGACTGTGCCAGAAAGCAATAGTGCCAGAAATCTATTTTGGAAAAATGCAATAGTTTGAAAACATTTTCTGAAAGTTAGAGTGGGATCAAATAGTGGGATCAATTAGAGTAAAATCAAGCAGCACTGAACATCCATTCATTATTCTCAGATTTTCTTTTATTGAAGTAAATGTAATGGGCAGGCCATTTCATTAATTTTTACAGATATATTTTTCTTTTATCTGCATAATGAATAACCAGTGGCTTTGATCATTGTCCCGGTTGAAGGCTAATTTTTCACTTTACCATTTCTTAAAGATTATAAAAATGGCATACATAGTTTGATTAACTTCTTATCTACAGGTTGCAACTGCCATGGACACAGTGACAAGTGTCAGTACAGTGAGCAAGTAGCTGAAAGGAAGTTGAGTCTGGATATTCATGGCAAAAAGGAAGGTGGTGGTGTTTGTGAGGATTGCCAGCATAACACATATGGTATTAACTGCGAAAAGTGCAAGCCATACTATTACAGGCCAGCTGGAGTGCCAATAACATCAAGAGATGCTTGTAGACGTACGTAGACATTCTTCTTTGTTGATTGTATCCAAGGGTTCAGGACTGACATTTTTTCTATGCGCTGAAACTTTTTTTTATTCAACAATAATACGGCTGGTTTTCCATCATAAAAAATTTCCTTATAGATTGTTATGATTGTTTACCTTCAATTTTCCAGCATGCAACTGCAGCTTCCAGACATCCACTGGTAACTGTGCAGATGGCGATGGTCAGTGTAACTGTCGACCCAATTATGCAGGAAAAAGGTGTGAAAGATGCAACAAAGGATATTTCAACTACCCAGTTTGTGAAGGTACATTCAGTTTTGTATATGTTGGGAAATCACACTTGGCCTTTAAGGATTAAGTTATGGAGATACTTGGAAAGGAGGAACAAAATTTGGCAGAGAAAGATTTAAATAAGTTACGGGTTTAGGAAACTGCCCAATAAAAAAACTTTTATTTCTGTCAAGAGAAACATATAAGCTACGTGACTAAACCAAAAGTATCACCGTTTTCAGTATCAGTTTTGCCACATCGGTAAATGGCACATAGAATTAAATTTGATAAAATGATATTGATTGCAATTATTGTGACATAGGGTGTCAAAGCAAGAATAATGACAACATGATCAGATCGATCAGATCGAGTTGGCTTTTCTTTCTTGCAAAAATGCCTCCGTTAGGTAAAATGCTGCTTGCGAAAGTTGCTTTTACAAAAATTTTGAAAAAGATCAAAAATACGTAAAAGGACATTTCCTACATTTTCCGAGAGTCTGAAGGGGGTGATCAAGAACCTTGTTGGTCCACCCCAGTTTTTTCGGGTTGGCAACGCCCCTGTCATGGGTTGTGATAATTTTTCAGTAAGAAGGTAGTTCTAGTATGTTTGTTGTACTTTCCATATATTTTCATTAACCTTCAACTATATATATTCTTGCTTTTGGATAGGTTGCATCTGTGACCGAGAGGGCTCTGTCGAGGGCTCTTGTGCTCCAGACTCATTGGGCAACTGCAGATGCAAGCCAGGTTACACTGGAAAAATCTGCAACAGATGTGATGTTGGTTACTATGGATATCCAGCTTGTCGCCGTAAGTTTCTCCTTTATAAATAATGTTTTGGCAGTGTATTGTTATCCCGTTAACTCGAATCCCCATCAACTCGAATTTTCGTCAACTCGTCAACTCGATTTTCTAATGAAAGCACTCGTCAGCTCGAACCCACCATAACACTATCGTTCATTAACTGGAACCATTTTAATTCTTCTTTTGGAGGTTTGAGCTATCAAGATTTGCTATCTAGTGAAGCTATATATAATGTTGATATTCGATTTCACTGCTACATAAGAGGGCCATTTTGATATCCTTCTTTCAATCTTCCACCAGGCTGCAACTGTCTTGTGCAATATGGAGCACTGAATGACAACTGTGACTCGCAAACAGGACAATGTAGCTGCAAAGAAGGTTATGGTAGCAGAGCATGTGATCAGTGTTTGATTGGTTATTACAACTTCCCATTCTGTAAACGTAAGTGTCTGTAAGCCAACAACTGTTCGTTAGTCTAAGATGATATTAGTTCCTTGAACTGTTGCGAGAAAATCATTGTGACGTAGAAACAGCATTCCCAGGACATCTTTTAGGGGGTAGGCAGTGAGCTTTTTACGGAGATATATTCTGCCCATCCGAAAGAACATTTCTTCGTCTCGCGATTTAAGATTTGTTTTATACTTCTGTTCATAGATTTGTTCATGAATTATACTTCTTAGTTTTTTCGCTTGAAGTTTTGATAAAAACATTTTCAGTGTAGGGTAACATATTAATCGGACGTGTTCTCTTTCAGGATGCGAGTGCGACTCGGCAAAGACACTACCGACAATATGCTCCGCTGGCTCTGGTGTTTGCCGTTGTAAGGAGAACTATTCTGGCCTAAAATGCGATCAGTGTGCTGATGGTTACTATGGATACCCCGCTTGCAGGCGTATGTTCCGCTATATTTCTATATCATGTTCTACTCTGCCTTTTCACATACGATACCTTTACTTTATTACGTAAATTACGAGCGTTTTTGCAAGGGAAAATTATGCTGCTTCGCTAAAATAATGAAAAAAATGAATTGACATAATCAGGATCGTCAATTTCTCAATCTCATATCCTCAACGTCAAGCAATATTTGTCGATGTGACACAACCTATGAATAATCTTTATTGTCAATCAAAGCTTTGTCTAGATAGGTCAGTGACCACTCTGAAGAAACATAAAAAATGCAACTTCAGTTGGAAGGCAGTTGCTTTAAGGCTGAGTCCATGAACGAGGTCAAAACACAGTAGAATCTCACAGTAGAATCTCATATAGTTTAATCAAATAACCTCAAAGTAACTAACAGAAATTGGGTCTGGATAGCTGACCTACTACTTCTACAAGGTTTGGGTGGAGGTGTCCATTGACAAAGGTTTCACTGTAGCTATATCAAGTTGACATTTAATATTTAGGTGTATCATAATAACAACTTTGATCTCTCATTGTAGCTTGCGACTGTTCTTCAACTGGCTCTTCTTCAGCTCCTTGTGATAAAGTCACGGGCAAATGCACATGTCTTCCAAATTTCCGCGGCGCCAAGTGTGATCAGTGTGTAACAGGTTATTATGGGTACCCAGCATGCCTTTCGTGCAATTGTGATCCAATTGGCTCGTACGGTAGCTCTTGCCGTTCTTCAGATGGACAATGTAGTTGCAGGGCCCAGTTTAAGGGACGCCAGTGTAACAAATGCCAACCTGGATTTTATGGATTTCCAAATTGTCAAAGATGCCAGTGTAATCCTGCAGGAACCAGATCTGGACCAGCTGGAATTGACTGCAGCTCTACTCGTAATGTAAGTCTTTGTACAAGTTAATCAATTCTAATCCTGCTAATGCAGAGTTTTAATTCCTCTAACAAGCTCATTTTTTATCTTTCTTTGTAAATAAAGTGAAAATTTTGTTTACCAAAATTAGTAAAAAACATCCGCTAATCAGAAGGCATATTAAAAAAACATTTTTTGGTAGCCGCTAAGGATGTTTTGGTACATTTTGTCATTCGAAGAACAAGATTGAAGCAGGGACCTCCTCTTTTCATCTTTGAAAAGTTTGACAAATCAATTTTCGAAATAAAACGAAGATTGATTTTGGTACCATGGTTCCTGAAGATTAATTATTTGTACCATGGCTCGCAAAGTGTTTCTTTTATAAGATAATTGTTAAAGTAATTGTTAAGTGCCGTTCATAGCCAGAACCAGATGACGTCGTGTCTATTTCTGCTGTGGATGGCACATAATATTGTATTTTGTTTTTGGGTTCTCTAGCAATGAAGATTCCAGTTTAGATTTAGAATCATTTCAACAATCAGGTTTGGCAATGTTATTTTATCGGGTTTTTATTACATTGGCAGGGCTTATGTCCATGTAAAGACTATGTTCAAGGAAAGGAGTGCACGGAATGTAAGGATGGCTTCTTCAATTTACAAGATTCAAACGAACAAGGATGTACTGATTGTCAATGTAGCAGAGCTGGTACAATGAGTGGACTCAAGATGTGCTCCAAACTGACCGGTCAATGTACCTGCAAGAGGCATGTGCAACAAAGAACGTGCAAAGAATGCAAAGATGGATTCTATCAACTTAAAGAAATCAACCTGTTCGGCTGCAAAGGTGGGTACAATGTCTACCGAAAGTCTGGGTACACTTAACTGATTGCAATGTTTAAAAAAAATTGAGCAGCAGGGTGTTCCAACCATTTTTGGAGGGATTGTAATTGTATTGCTAGCTATGAAATGGTGACGAAAGCGTGCAGTAGGACGGTTTTGCTAAAATGCTTTTCTGCATTATTGACTAACAGATGATATCGTACGCAGAAAAACGATTTAAGCTTGAACTTCTCATATGCTTCAAAAAATGCTACTTGTTGTCGCAGGTTCTTATCTTATTAGTTTTGGTTCTTCCAAATTATTTGAGTTCATTTTCTGGGCCATGCTTTTTCTTAGGCTGTGAGTGCGATGTCGGTGGCTCGGTCGACATGGCTTGTAGCAAGTCGGACGGACAATGCAAATGTCGTGACAACGTAATCGGACGCACATGCAACAAACCAAGACCAGGATACTATGCTCCCACGATGCACCAGATTTCAGCGGAGATTGAAGATGGCAGGGCACCTGATGGCAACGTTATCCGATTTGACGTGCAAGAGAGCAAATTCCCAGGATATTCCGGTAGAGGATATGCCATGATCAACGAAATGCAGGTACAAGCGCAATATAGCTGATACTCTTTAAGCATTGCTTAAACTGCACTCCAATGTTTTGTAACTGCTATTTTCACTTTGAAATCTGTTCTTAAAACGGTTTTCTATTCTCCTATGACTAAATGAGATCTGATTGACACCGATTTTTTTCCAGCCGACAATCATTGCAACAGTGAACGTATTCAAGAAAAGCAACTACCAACTTATTTTCAAATACGTATTAAACCAGTTAACACCCGTCACAGCCAAAGTCCAAGTGTATCCTTCAGGTAGGTTTTCTGAGGCAATGTAGATTCAACTCTATCACAGACTATAAGCTGTTATTTGGGAGGAAGTAACTGTAGTAACATCGCTTTCTTGGAAAGCAGTTGCCTGTTTACAAGAAGGACTCTATTTCGGTGCGATGATTGCATGGAAAACAGAAAGGTATAGGAAGAGGGGTTTATGAACCCTCTATCCCTAAGTCCAAAGTCGAGAAGTCCATGTCTCCAAGTCAAAGTTTCTGCTGGAATTGTATTGCATTGAAACTTTATCCTTATTAAAGTTATTTTGAAGATTTTGTCTTCATGAGATAATTTGGACCATCCACCTCTCTATATTTAATTCCACTCCTGGCGCAATTTAATGGGTGTAATTTTTATTTAATGGCAACATTTTATTATACCTTCTAGAATTCAAATTGCAGCTTTTTTATCATGCCTGTTTATTAATCTGCTATTAATCTCTCTGTAGGAAAAAGAAGTGGTCGATTTTCAGGAGATGCTGACTTTCCATCAACGCAGATTGCTGGGTCTTTCATTTCAAAGTATACGAAGCTGTCAAAATCAGGGGATCCAATCTTCTTTCCACTTACTCCAGGAAAATGGGACATCGAAATTACCGCACCCTCATCAGCATTGTTGTTGGTAGGTCGTTTAACACTGTCAAATATAACTATGTGTTCTCATTTATTTGATCGTATATAGAGAATTGCCTATCGGTTTGGAAAATTGACGAGTAGGAAATTTTGTAGTTAGAAAAGCATTGGGTTAGAAAATATAAAGTAAGAGTGAGATGTAATTTTTTTATCTTATCGATATGCTAGTAACTGCACCATCAACCAGATACCTGATCTAGATCCGGGTGCAACTTTTGTTCCTTTGGGCCCTGAACTGTAGGATGTTTTGCAACAGTCTGCCTTTATTGAACATGAAGAATATTCTCTAGAGGTGGACCTGTACTGGATCTATATAAGTGGCCAAACTCATTGACGATACCATTGTAAGCCTTATTTTTGAATTATCAAAAAGTTCTCTCCGCCAAGCATTTTGATGTTTGAATTTAGCGATTAAATACATTGTGATGCTCAGAAATATATTTTGCTCTAAAAATTACTACATCATTGATAGCAATTTTCGCATTTTTTTTAGGACAAAGTTATTCTCGTACCAGAAGAATATGTTGATGCTGCTCAGCTCAAACGAAAGATCACAGAGCCATGCGAAGTTAAGAAAAATCAGAAAGTTTGCACGCAGTATTCTTACTTAGATATGAAACAGAGGCAAGGTTTTGTCACAGTCGAGGCCGAACTGAACCATGGTCAACGCAAACCTGTCGTATTATTCAATGATACCCAGGTTCTCAGTGAGCTTGACTTTGATGCCATGGCGAAGATGTCAAGGGATAATGTACGTAGTAAACATTTGTCGTGTCATTTGCAGCTAAAACCCTGGAGAACGAGGCTTACAGCTTTTCCTGAACTGACCGGTTCCCGGGCTGGAAATTTATAAAACAATACACATTTTCAGATACCCCTTCCATCTCAATGAGTACTCTGCTAGGCATTTTGCCCAAAGAATCGAAGCAAACACGATTTAAGAAAGTTTTGTTGCCTGAATAGTGACGTCCACCTACGTAAATCTTAAGGCCTTCATCAGACACCTGTTCTGCTATAAGTGTACTTGTATTTTTATCATATAAGATAGATTATTGCGCTTTCCCTCGGTTGTTCATTTCCTATTTTATTTTCACCAGCGTCAGTTGGATATGGACATTGATGTGAGCAAAAGCGGACAGTATGTTTTTGTCGTTCAGTATTATCACGATGCTCCCAGAACCCATACAATGGATGTTTACCTTAGGACATACAAAGACACGCAGCGTGGTGATGTCATTTTGAGCCAGTGCAAGTGAGTTAATATCAGATTTGATGTGTACCAAATTGGCCTAAGAAATCCTAGACAGTTCGGGCTTCGGAGTGGGCACATGCCGTAAGACAGTCAACATTTGCTTATAGAAATCGTTGATTTTAAAGAAATGCACGAAACTTTGCTTAACCGTTCCATATAAGACTGCACAGTGATTTTGTTCCTTTCTAGTTCTGATTGTTTTCGTACCTTTTTATACTATGACTGATCGTTTACAGCCTCATAACTTATCGAAAACATGAGTAAATCTGTAGATAAATTTCTGAAGCAAATTGTGACGAATTTTTTGTATATATAGCTTGTGGCTCCTAAATAGTTAACCTAGTTCTTGGATATATAGTTTTAGTCTTCTCCTTAAAATTTCGTATCTGTTAACCTAGGCCTTTCTTTATTCGTCATGTCATATTAATAATAATCTTTCAAGTTATATACCTTGGTTTGTTTTTGACAAAGCTGCAGTGATTCATACTTATGCTATGAACTGAGTTGCTAATTGTCTTATCTTTGCTAGGTATAAATTTGGTTGCCGTCAAGTTGCGATTGATCAGCGAAAGGGCACTGTTAAAGTTTACAATGTTAGTGCTGACGACCGCAAGCTTGTGACGCTTTTTTCAAGATCCCCGACAACAATCGGCGTGGTAAGTATGCGTTGAAAATTCGATTAGCCTTTATGTACAACGGAAACATCAAAAACAAGGAATGAATATCTCGGATTTTTTTTATCTTAATAAATTATATATAAATATTGTGCCTACTAGAATAGCACCTACTAACAATGATAAATGACATCCTATTAGCATTAAATGACCTTCTGAAGTTTTGATTTGCATTCTTCAGTTTTAGAGTCTTAAAATTTGGCAAATATCCCGGCTGCATCGTGCCCTCCTTTTAGCAAATTATAGGAAACTTCGACAAGCATCTGTTTACGTTTATGTTGACACCAATGAGAAAAGGCCTTTAGAAATTGAATGAATCTTCTATCTAACCATGAACTGTATCAAGTTTTCGATTAGTATTTCGTAGTGCAAATTAGAGGGTATTTGGATTAGTAATAGGTCTATGTTAATGTATATATATATATGTATAAAATGTCTTATTTATTGAATATTTTGATTGCTTGCACAAAGACTATCATTAGAAACGGGAGGCTCTTTAAACACCTGTCGTTTCTAGCCTTCTTTTCTTTACGGACGGAGCACATTTTAAATTTTTCATTTCAGGATTCCGTGACAGCTATTCCTCTAGAAAAATGGAGCATGGATTTCATCACACCTGAGCCACTCTGCACAACAAAGGACAACAAATGCACCGCAACAACTTTCCCATTTCCCAAAACGTCAGTTAGAGTTGACGGATTTTCAAATATCGGCGACCCAGTTCCACCAAATGTCTTTGATCCAAAGAGTATGATTTACATTCCATCTGGGGTGAGAATATCACATGTTTATGTTAATTAAAGCAAGTTAGAATCAATCTTAACTGAGCAACGCTTTGGCAATGAAACAGCTAGAGCTTAGAAGATAATGTTTTTTTATCAGTTAAGCAAGGCATACCTATTATCTGATTTAAATAAGATATTAGCCATTTCAGAAAAATGTTTATCTACTAGAAGATTTTGAACCTGATTTCGTATAGATTGCAGAAAAACAGAGTCTTTATATTTCTCTATTCTTTTTTCACACTCACGTGATTGATAACGCGATATTTGTTCGTTTTTACTTTGTGTTGTCATTTCTCATTTACCATTTTGTTGAATTTCTTTCATAAAACTGTTGACAGCTGCAAATAGACTTGATATTAAGTTTTTACTGAGCCACCCTAGATTAATCATGCTACATGGAGCTCTTCTCAAACATTCTTAACGTTACTTAATGTTAAATTTTAGGCCATTCGTGCTTTGCCGCCCAAGAAACTTCCTGCTGGTCGCTACTATATAGTTGTGCATTACTATCAACCAAAGCATGCAGGATTCGATGGTCAGGTATCGGTTGAGAATGTACGGAAGTACCCGGGAGTTGTCCGGTTCGACTACTGTCCTCACACATCCGGATGCCGGGCGGTTGTAAAGAATGGTGCAGTTGGTTCATTCACACTAGCTGATGTTGACACATCGATAAGAATGTCGATCCCAGACGGAAAAGATGTCTGGGTGGTAAGCAATCTTCTTCCTATGCAAAACTGAGCCAACCTCGGTAGAGATAACACAAGGAAACGACTAATTTCAAAGAATTGCTGACACCACACACAATGTTTGCTTCGTGTTATTTCTTGTATTATCGTATTCCTCGAACAAAAGGAAAATATAAAGAAAGCGTAACTCATCCTATATAATGACGAACTATTCTCCGGTCTATTAAAACTATTTTTGTATGCACTCAACCTACTTGTTTAAAGACTATTTTTCCAGATTCTTTTTGATTTTGCTTGAATTTGATTTTGCATAGATTCAGCATCGTTTTTGCCTATTTTAAGTTACATTCCTATTTGTTACATTTTTTATAGAAATTGTATAATGCGCCTTTGAGCCCTAAGGATAAATGGGGCAATATAAATGCCATTTATTACTCATTAGTATTCCATTATATAGTATATACATATAGGCGTGTTTGATACTCATGTTATAGTTTGCAATAATATCTTACAGGATTACATACTGTACATCCCCGAAAAAGATTACACGTCCATGGTACTGATGCAAGATCCTTCGAGCCGTGTTGCAGAATTCTCCAAGGAGTGCGCCAAAGATAACTTCTACATCAAGCCAACAGTCAAAGGCTTCTGTCGTGATGGGACCTTTTCTCTGACTACAGCGTTTAATAACGGGACGTTGCCATGCAACTGTGACTCACGTGGTTCAGATGATCAAAACTGCGAAGAGCTTGGAGGTCAATGCCGTTGCAAATCGCCATACATAACAGGCAGGACATGCAACAGATGCAGGATGGGATACTTTGGATTTCCAAACTGCAGAGGTAAGGCAGTGACTTGGCAGATTAAGAAAAGTTTGGGAATCCATCGTTTTATGACTGAAGACTAAGCCTAATTAAGATTTAATTCAATATGCATGCCCTTGATCATAGAGAGGGGTTGCCTCAATTATTAGAAGATTCAGCTTGTTCGTTTCCACAATAATTTACCTTTACTCAGACCATTGAGCCAAAACTCTGAAACCCCCTTCTTGAAAAACAACGAAAGTAAAATAAAAATGTATATACCGTCTTGGTGTCATATTTTAAATTACCTTTATAATCGACCTTCTTTGAGGTGGTTAACTGTTATTTGACATAATTTGTTTTAACAGATTATTGCTTTAAGCATTCTTAAATCTTGACTCTAATTCTTACCAACTTAAGGTAGTCGTAAGGATGGATACGTTTTGTACATGTGCTCATTTGTTTTCGCATCACCTTTGTTTTGATATGATTTTTAAAACGTTGAATGGTAAAAGACTCTTGCCAGACTATACGAAAAAGTCAAAAGAAAGTGAGTTGTTGGTAACGCCATGTTTCAATTTCCAGGCCTAAATAAAACAGATATCTTCTTTACAATTTTTTAAGAAATACAGCACTTTCTTACAAAGCAGCAAATATATGTTTTTAAGTCTGAATTAGAGGCCTAATGGTTATCCCAAAACGAGCTTCTTACCAGATTACATCCAATAATAACTGATTATGTTTATCTTTCTTCTATCTAGCGTGCCAAACCTGCAGCAACTGTGATGAAGTCACTGGAGAGTGCAAATGTCCCCCTGGTGTTTACGGTAACAAATGCGACAAATGCAAAACTGGAACGTACGGATATGACCAGGTTGTCGGATGCCGGCCTTGCAAATGTGACAAAACCGGTACAAAGAACGGTAATCAGACATGTGACGTTGTCTCTGGTCAGTGCACGTGTAAGGATAACTTTAGTGGGCGACAGTGCTCTGAATGTCGAGCTGGATTCTTTGGCAAACCGATATGCAGGAAATGCTTTTGTAATGATGCTGGTGTGACTGAGAAGAAATGCGACGCTGATAGTGGAAAATGCTTGTGCAAGGTATTATTTATAGCCTATGCTCGTTCGGCAGTGTGTTGCGCTGTTTATTGGCATTGTTTGTTGAATTTCGAGGGTCCTCGAAATTAGAGAAGAGTGACAAATTAGTACAACTGATCAATAGCAAGTAAGGGGAATCGTTTGTTACAATATGAAAACTCACTGATTGGTTTATTGACAATTGTTTGTTGAATTTCGAGGGTCCTCGAAATTAGAGAAGAGTGACAAATTAGTACAACTGATCAATAGCAAGTAAGGGGAATCGTTTGTTACAATATGAAAACTCACTGATTGGTTTATTGACAATTGTTTGTTGAATTTCGAGGGTCCTCGAAATTAGAGAAGAGTGACAAATTAGTACAACTGATCAATAGCAAGTAAGGGGAATCCTTTGTTACAATATGAAAACTCACTGAAATAGAAATTTTATTCTTTGTTTCGATAAACCAATGAACGGCGCGACATACTGCCTTTAATTTTTTAAAGTTTTAATCCTAACAGTTAATGTCGTGTATCAAAGTCTCGATAAATGGATGCCAGGAACGGGTGGGCTGATAATGTTTCGATTATATTCGACAAACGTACTTGGTCTTATATCGCAGACTTATATTTCATTAAACACCTTTCCTTGCTTCATTCACCAGCCTTCAGTGACCGGCGATTTCTGTGACAAGTGTGTCGAGGGACATTTCAAGACAGATGCTAAAAAGGCTGCCAACCTTTGCTTGAAGTGTTGGTGTTCAGGACGAAGCAAGAAATGTTCTGAAGCCTCTCGATTCAGGTTGGTTAACTATACTATCCATATGCGACTGACATTTACTAATGCTATATGCTTAAACCCATTAATATGATCACTGCAAATAACATAATCATGCCGTGAAAAATCCAAAGAATTAAATTAGTGTTTAAAGTTATTTAAACACCTAACGATGCACCGAAAAATTTCAACATCAAAATGCACCTTTTAGATCAGAACCTAATGTAAGCACCTTCCATCCTGCAACTCCTACATGTGCATTTAAAACGACACTACGAACAGTCTGGTGTTGGTGAAAAATGAAGGGTTAACTATGGGAGATGCCTGTTTAATGATCGCAAATATGTATAAATTTTCACTTGTTATAGCTTCATCTCATTTTTCTTTTACCTCTTCTTTGCAGAGATTTCGTTTATTTTCCTTCAAACTTGTCCTCCAATTTATATTTCTCGTCACTGTTGCTACTTTTCCATAAATAAGTTGAATTTTTTGTAACCCATTTGTCACCTACTTTGAAAATTAGTTTGTCATCTTTTGGAAGTTTCATTTTTCTGTTACTCTTGTAGAAAGTCAATCCCGCTAGCTGCCGCAAACAAGCCTTGGAATATAACGCACCAAGCAGGAAAAACTGATATTGGGAAACGAATAACGACAATCGAGAAAACAAGATTGGGTAGCAACAAACATGTTTACTGGGTGGCACCGGAGGACTACCTCAGCGAAGGAGTAAGATTTTCATTTTAAGACAGCTTTCTTGCAGTTGAAGGGCTAGGCAATTTTGGCGAACTATTTTGTTTTAGTACGGTTGAATTAGATGATTTTGTTCAGAACTGCAGGGCGGCATTTCTAATATTACCTCGTCTTGTTCTTTGTTTTCTATTACTGTGTTTAATGTTCGCAAATCAGTTTTTCTCAATTTACGTGTCCCTTATCAGTATTCTCAAAAGTCAGCAAAACTCTCATAGTATGACCTACCTGTACCGTTGCTCTTATCTAGAGATCTTAAAGAGTCAAGCTGCAGTTTTCTTTGACAGGTTGCAATTATAATTTTTTTTCCCAATGACATATACTCATTGACTTGTGGCTCTGGCGTTCCTAGAAATTTCTTTCTGATATGTAGCGTTAGTAATGTAGACATTTTTTGCAAATTTTTTCTAGGTTGTTGCATATGGAGGTTACTTAGAGTTCTCTGTTATGTTCCAAACACTACCTGTTTATGGAAAGTTCACGCTGATTGAAGAGACTGTTCCTCTTGTTATTATTCAAGTTAGTATGATACTCGACCACTATGACTCATAACACTGCATTAAGTAGAAGCAATGAACAATGAAAATAATTCCTAATGTTCTGAAACTAATTTTAAATTTTGTATATTTGATTTACAGAGGAGTTGAGCTGTGCCTAAAGAAACAAATAGCTGTGTAATTGTGACTGATTGCCTGTTCAAAGATGTTATCCATTTTCGTATTTTTTTACGGCATTGTAATTTTTTTTCGGTAACTTTAGTTTCTACCTCATGGCTCCGAATACTGTCTTGAAATGTACGTTTGTCTCAGACTCACAAAGACTTTCATAAAAACCTGACTGTTTGTTCTACTGTCCAGTCTAGATGGAATCAGAGTTTCGCAATCAAATCTTTTAAACCTTTTATTCTCATATTTTCATATCATTGGACTGTACTTGGTGATCTCCATTTTTATCAAATTATGCCGATACTTAATCCTAGGGAATGAACTCAAAAATCCACCACAGGAGAAAGCTGACAATGCAAAATGGTGTCCAGGTCAATGTCAGAGTTCCACTTTATGAGGTACCTTCATTTGGCTGAGCTATTTCATTTTACCCCTGTTTATTCGTATTGTGTTCTTTACTTTGTCATATCAATCGTTTCAAGTTCTGAATGCACAAAACTCATCAATAGAAGTTCTTTACTCTTCAGCTTATAAACATAATTTTAAAGAAGAAAGTGAATACCATAATAACATGAATACCTATATATAACTGAAGCTAAATTGTGTAGTGTTTTGATGGTTTTCAGCTCATAATCTAATTGTTTAATTGCGTTGGGAACTCTTTGATATTTATTTGAATATCATTTTCATTCTGATGTTACGTCATCGGCTCATGTGTTCTGTGTTGGTCTTACTGAAGGCCGGTTTCCACTTGATACTGTTGCCATTGTAGAGTGCCTGGGTAAATGAAGATGGTACCCCCGTCTCAAGAATGGAGTTCCTCGAAACAATTGCTATGCCCAAAGCAGTCCATGTCCGTGCCAGCCACATAATGCAGAAAAGTATGAATCAAGCATCTCCTCCGTTCACATGTCATCATCAGGTAATACCGGAAGTGACCCTGCTTATGGTGTTGAGGTTTGTCAATGCCCAAGTGAATACTCTGGTACTTCTTGTGAAAAGTGTGCCAAAGGTTACACCAGATATGTCGATGGATCTTGTGTTAAATGCGACTGCAACGGAAAAGCCACTGAGTGCCATCCAGAGACCGGTGTTTGCATTGGTTGCACCGGGAACACAATGGGTAAGTAAATACCCGACTGTACCTTTTAGTCAGATGTGTAGGCATGAATTCTTGTAAGATTCGTAGGCTCAAAGTAACATCGCTGTTTGCCATCGGGTCCAAAAGCTTTCTATTCATCTTGCAAACAATTAGGTCATCTACAACGAAGAAAAACAGTACTTAGGTTCGTAACTCCCAACAACGAAGAACCTAAGGATTTACGAACCTACGTACTGCTTTTCGTTAGTTCAGCATTTCGTGTTTCAAAGAACCTATTTTTGCCTTATGAATAACAATTTGAAGACTATCTCCCTTTGAACAATTATCTGTACCAAGATACCAATATTGCTTGGCATCACTGTGCCTACTCATCGTCAGAAAACACCCTTTAGATAATTACCTATGCAAGTACCTTGATCCTGCGATTCCCATATGCACCTTAAAAACAAGATCGATGCACTGTTATAGGAGTCGTTTCTTTGCAGGTATATATTTAATGTTGTTGCCAGCTCGGCTTTTTTGGAATGCAAACTTACCTTATTGTTATATACACGCTGGTAACTCTTCATTTGAAATCCTTTCAACATAAGATTTACTTTTTAGACCTTTCTGCTTCGAAAAAAGCGGAACTAATCTTATCATTGCAAAGCTTGGTCTAAAACGGTACATAAATGATCATCCTCTTTCTTTTTCTAGGTGACAAATGTGAAAAGTGTAAACCAGGTTTCTACGGTGACAAATGCAAGCCATGTGAGTGCCCAATGTCCTCAGCTTCCAACAATTTTGCTACTTCATGTTTCCTTGGTGTCGGTGGAACGATGACGTGTAGGTGCAAACCAGGTTACACAGGGCTCCGATGCGAAAGATGTGCTGACGGTTATTTTGGGGATCCGCTGAAGATTGGCGGCTCCTGCAAACCTTGCGAGTGCAATGGAAACATTGACAAGAACCTGACAGGTGAGCAGATTGCAGCTAAAATTTGTTTTTATGAATTCACAGCCATTCTCGACAGGGACCACGGAAGCCACCCCTCCCCCCCCCCAATAATTTCCAAAATGTACTTAAAACCATACAAAAATCTCCCTGATCTTGGTTTTTAGCATGTTTAGCCCCTCCCTCCCCATTTAAAACGATTTTGCCCCCTCAATCTGTAACATGCTCTGCGGTCCTTCTCAGGTATTCTTTACCAACCCCCCCCCACCTCCCCTTTCAGAACTTCTTCTTTAGTCTAAGCTTCTCTGTACTCATACTCTGAATTCTAAATAAGTATGTACTTTTCCTTGGTCGTTCATATTATATACATGAATATTATCATATAATCTATTTTTACAACTGTAGTATATGGGTACAAGTAAAATTGAACAGAACTAATTGAATTGAGTGCTATGTTATTGGGCGATTGGAATGGAATTCAGCCTTTGCTTTGGATATAGGAAACTTTCCATATTTCGAATATGAACCAAGGTGTTTGTCAAATATGAAGGGCTGCATATGATACAGGGGACAAATCTAACCTGAACATGACTTCTTCGTGTACGCTTCGGTCTATAAAACAGGGTTGTTTTATGTTGCTGGATTCTAAGCATGTCCAGCTCTACCTATATGACATCGAACAAAATATAACGGACCCGTAAAACAGTAATCTTTATAGCTTCTTCATATATTTGATTGTTTTTTATAGCATTGACTTTGTCTCATGTGTAACACACGTTAAAAATGCTGTTATTTATTTCTTATCTTGGTTTTTATCATTCATGTAGTGTAGTTTGTGAAATTTTTAATATCGGTAAATCAATTTTTTTATATAATTAAGTATTTATTATCTAGATATGAAATTCCCATTTTTGCAATTGTTGATCACAATTGTTACTTGTGCTAGTAGTCGTTATGAAATGTTTTTCTCGTCATTATTTTCAGGAAATTGTGACCCGAAATCGGGAAAATGCTTTAAGTGCCTAATGAACACTGCTGGTGACAAGTGCGAGAAATGCCGGGTCGGTTACTATGGTGATGCGATCAAAGCAAAGAACTGTACGAACTGCAAATGCAGTAGTTGTGGCTCAGCAGACATCACATGTGACCAGAAGAATGGACAATGCGTCTGCAAGAAAAATGTGATGGGGACCAGGTGTACAATGTGCAAGGTATATTTTCTTTGATGATGTTTCGTATGCCAGTTAGAATAAACAGCCATGTTTTTATTTTTATGCAAGGATATCTTATTTGAATAGTTTTTTGGCGGTACATAACTTGAAAATGGCTTTCAAAAAAGCAAACATTTCACAACATATTAACTAAAAGCTTTTTCGTCTGACACTCCTCAGAGCATAAAACGTTAGAATAAGGGTCCGAAAGAACACGTTGAAAAATATATACCCAGTTGTGGATCGAAATAGGCCAATCAGGATCTGATCATTCTCTGGTAACATTCTCTGGTAATAGAAAGATTTCCCACTGACTTTTTGATTTTTTCTTTCGTCCAGCCAAACACGTGGAATTACAAAGCTTGCATTGGTTGTGAAGATTGTGCTTGTGGCATTGCGTCAATCAGCAAGCAATGTAACACTGATAACGGACAGTGCACATGTCGCCCTGGGGTAATGGGAAGAAAGTGTGACTCGTGTAAACTTGGTTTCTATGGTTACAGCAAAGATGGCTGCAAAAGTAAGTTGAATTCATAGCCCGTTGTTGACCTGGTTTTCTTGAACTTTTGGAGAAATTTTCATGGTACGGTAATTTCAAATCATGCAAAAATTCAGAAAGGCCGGAAGACCTTGAGGTAATTTCTTGATCGAAGCAGGCCTTGCAAGGAGAGGCGCTCAAGCTTCGTCAAAAACCAAATCTTGATTGATCAAACACCTAGTGTGTTTATGATCTCTTAAAATTAAATTCGAAAAGCCAGATTTTATTTTTGATGAGATTTGATGATGCGCAATCGAGCGCCTAGAAAGTTGAAGGTGTCGGTTTGTCAAGCGCCTACTTTTTGCTCCTCACAATGCCTGGTCGAATGGGAAAACCTGAGCGTGGGACTTAAAGATAGTACTGCGATGAACACATACTTGCAATAAAGTTAAGATTCCATTTAGAGTTATGCATTTAGAGAAATTGCCTGTTTTCGCTACAATGCTGGACTTGTGCTGCTGAGTATTTTGTACCTTATCTTCCTCTTTAATTTTGTTTTCTCCTATTTCAAAAAATAAACCCCAATTTTGAATGTCTGGTAGTGGGTGAAGAATTTAGCGCGCTTTGTTAAATAAGCATGCAATCCTTGATGTTTTTAGGCATTTTTCTCACATCCTTTCCAGGATGATATGATATATTTGCCCTTTTTTCAGAGTGCAACTGCAAAGATGGCGGCTACTGCGATGTTGTCACTGGTAGCTGTGACTGTGGGGCATCAGGTGAAAAATGCCGTCTTTGTCCAGAGGGACATATCATCACCAACAAAGGCTGTGTGCAATGCGATAATTGTGTACAGCGACTGTTGCAGCGAGTCAAATTCATCGACACAAATTATTCAACCCAGCTCAATCATTCACTTGGAATCTCAAAAGCGAAATCTCTTGCCCGCGTTAATCAGACTCTCCAAGGGTAAGTTTTTTATTGAAAAAGCTGGTAGAATGTATTTTTGTTCATATGGATTCTGTCTTCGTCCAGTCAGCTTGTGGATGACCAATTGGTAGATTTGCTTCTGAAGTTTGGTATTTTTACTAAGTTACTATATTTCAACTTTGTTTTAAATCTAGTTAGTGGATATCAACTAGCACTACCACTTTCGTCCCACATAGCTTTTTCGTATCATAGTCTGCTTAAAGTCGTATGAATGAAAGGGAATTACTTTCAGAGGCAGAAGCAATGCAGTCTGTTCCTACATTTGAGACTATAAAACCAGGCTCCTGTTGTAAAGGGCCTAGAACTCTTAAGACAAAGCAAAGACGAAAATGAAAAAAAATATTCTGATTTGTGAAATATGCAGTTTATATGTAAATGTCTAGTACACTGTATACATTCCAAATTTTACCCTGTGTAGACATTTCATGAAATTAACAAAAATATGATAACTTCATCATCAATACAATGTTGTTTTCGTTACAGTCTCGGAAAGAAAGCTGATATATGGAGTTTTGATTTGGAGACAATGCGGAAGGCGTTAGGATACGGCAACTATTCTCAATACGGAGGTGATTTAGGCTACCACGAGGTGGACAAGTTCATATCATGCTCATTTACCAAGACAACCCCTTTGCCACCTTTTATTATACGCAACAAGCGAGACGTAAATAGGCAAAACATACTGGGAATGAAAATATTTAGACGAATTTACCGAAGGTCAGTCGCGGTCGATAATCATGCTGCAGCCGACGGTAAGATATGCCACCTCCTTTTGTAAATATTGTCAATTCTTATATTCTTTGTAAACAACCTACTCTTGAAACCATCTTTTTCTCTGGTTTGGCACAAATAAATAAAATCGGTCGATTATCAGTCCACTAGTGGATTCTCGACTCGAACTGCATTCAACACGGCATCTCAGCACGGGTCGAAATTTGTCATGGCTTCTGTGAGAAATTAACAAGTCATGAAAATCTATCCAAAATAACATAACCTTCTGTTTTCAAAACTATTTACGCTTCTCATCAAACACAGTACAGAATCTCTTCACGTTCCAATTGTGACTATTGGGAACCCAGGAACGTAAAGCATATTTTCTTTTACTTTAGGTTCTCGTAGCCACTCAAATTCGTAACTCTCAGCTCTGTCAATTACTCAAATTCGGAATTTGCAAATGACTAATAATAGACAGTTTTTCTGTAAATTATTGATGTATTAGTATTATTCTGCGCTGTTATACGTTTAATACATTTATGCTCGTTATTATTACCAGGTCAATGTCCGGCATCAATGGCAAGAGTATTCTTTGAAATAGGAATAAACGAGACAGAAAAACTGGTAAAGAGGCTGGCAATAAGATCCAATATGGTTGCCAAAAACGCATCTGCTACTGAAGAGCGCGCCAGAGAGTACCTAGCAAGCCTTAAAGGAGAAGATAAGCTCATCAGAGTTGTTGAAGGTATCCATTCCTTAAGTTCTAATAAATATATTGATATATAGCTTTAAAAGAGCAAACTTTGAAGGATGCGTTTAAAGCCCAGGGGTGGACAATTTGGTCTCCCGCGTACCTGGGACGACCGGTTTTTACCTGTGGGAGACCGCTTATCGTTACACAGGGTAACCGCTGGGCTGCAAAATTCGACTGGAAATCTCCACCCTGGTCGCCAGAGTTCCGTTTAGAGAGATCACAAGCCATATGCGAGAGATCACTGAAATTCTACCGAGCTCCCACCGGGGGACCACCATTTTACCGGAAGTTCCACTCCTGAAAGCTACAAATGTAAAGTAGATTTTCATGGAGTACAAACAATGCTCGTTTACTCCAGCATTCAACAGAAATTTCCGGTCTTTCAGATTACGAAGTCGGCTTTTGGTTAACTTCTTTGTTTAAACTGAAACATCTGCATATAATTGTCACTAGCAGTCTGACGTCCGAATTGTGCGATATGATCGTCTCTAGAACAAGGACCGCGTCATTGATATATATACGCAGTATTTTAACACAAAGTGCTTCATCAAAGAAAGATAGCATTTAAAGGCCTTGTGCAACCGACATGCCTAGTTGTCTTGAGAAATTGATTGTGTTTGTTATTTTCATGCAGTATGATGTTAGGCCGGTTTTGAAAATACAGTCGCAAAGCATGCCGGTTGCTCAAGAGCCTTTAATGTTGTTTAGTTTTAAGGCAGTAAGTCGTGCAGTAAATTGGTTTACCGAATCAAAGAACATGATTTTTATTTCAGCGTGTTTTTCATTTCTTGTTAATGGAGGACTCCTACTTGTTATTGATCAGTTTCGAATTCTGAGTTTCTCTAATTTCGAGGGCCCTCCGAAATTCGAGAAATAAAAGCTAATGAACAGTGCGACACACTGCTTTTAAAGGATCCGCTTTGCAGGAATTTATGCTCAGCATCTTTGGATGCTATGAAGCAAATATGTTTCAAGGGTAATGAATGATCTATCATTTTGGTTACATATGGCGTATCTTCTTCTTTATGTGTCATGCGCTAACGCGTTGATGATCATGCTCCTTCATACTTCTCTATCTTGACATGCTTGAATGAGTTCATTTCCATTTGTCCTGTTACTCCATTCTTTGATGTTGCTCAAATACATCCTTCTCTGTCTGCCTCTTGCTCTTTTGCCTTCTACTTTTCCGGTTAGCGATAGGCTCTCTATGCCTTTTTTCCCCATAACATGTCCCAAAATGTCATTTTCCTGTTTTTGATGGTCTGTAACGATTCTCGCTTCACGTTTGCAATTGTGAGCACTCGCTCATTTTATATTTTATCAGTCCATGAAATCTTCAGCATATGACGTATTCTTCGTAATTAAAGTCATCTTTAAATTTACAGCTACAGTGAACTTTGCCAACGAGACATTATTGCGAATGATGAACGGAAGTGACGACACCAATGTTTCTGTCTCCGAAATTCAACGCATAAAGAACGACTTGAAGAGCAAGAACTTTTCCGACATTTTGATGAAGGTAACAATGGAGAAAAGGCTTGCTCAGAATGCATCCATGTTGGCGAAAGATTTGTTAAATAAGACAATGATGCTTTCCAATTTGGTTCATGGACAAAACGATACTATACTAAACATTATAAAAACTTTCTTGGCCATCAATAAAGGTGCACAAAATGCGCTTTACGCAGCTGGTAATGGCTCGGAGCTAATTGGTATTGCGAAACTGATAGATTTCCAGGTAGGTACACGATTCTTGTTATTCAAGTTGAGAAGCTAGGCGGAGTAAAGAAGGAAGGATAACTTTAGTTTTCAGCTAGCTCAAGATACCACTTGCATCTTAAGTCATTTGTTATCCAGAGTACGAAGGCGTTTAGGTTTGTTTAAGAAGCCGGGCTTTGCTCATATCCTGGTCAAATTCATGACTTGGGCAACTATCAAAAAATATTTTGCGGCATCAAAGGATATAATGTTATGTTTTTTCTGCGTTTCTTTTTGAAAGCCTGATAACAATCGAGGTGTTTTCAAGAATGAGATTGCAGCTGTTCAGTTAAGGTGGAAAATGTATTTCTGCAACTTCAGACGCAGATATTAATTACAAGCATTTCTTTGAATTTTATATGGATCGTAGACAAGTTGGAATGTATGAATGTATATGCGTGAACTGTTCCTTGTTTTTTTGAAACGAGATCGAACCTTTGCTAACAGCTCTTCAAGTGCTGTTTCTTAACTTCTTTTCATTATCCTCCGTTCTCAAAGAAGATACCTGTTAATGTAATACGGTATTCAGTCTATTATTCCTAATTTTCATTTTTTGTTGCAGTCTTTCTTGGATGCTGCAAAAATAAAGTTAAGCCTCTACAATAAAACTATCATGGATGCTATGTCAAATGGAACTGCCGCCAAAATGTCAGCTGACGAAGCAATGAAAGCTTTTGGGGTGAGTGGAAAATTAGCAGCGATTGATAAGCGATATTGCAATTATTTTTTCCATTTCCATGGTTTTATCGACGTTTTATTTAGAATTATACAATACAGTAAATTTGTTCTGGAATATCCGGTACGCTCTTTCTTTATAAGAACCAGATTCTACTGTTTTGGTCCGAAGCTCCAATTTCTACTTTTTCGGATAATTAGAGGCTCAGGTGTTTATCAATTATGTTCTTATTTCCACATATATGTTTGTGATCATATTTCTTTTACATCGAAGCAGTCTTCCTTTAAATACATATTTATTGTAAATACCCTCATCGATTTTGATAATGGGCATTAAAGTAAACAATGTTTTTTCAGCAATTCATGAACAAGAGTGCCATTCTAAACAACCTCATTCCCATTCTCCGAGAACGAACTCGAGGATTGAAAGTTCACAATAAGAACGCGTCTAAACTCGTCGACGATGCTGATGCTCATGCAACTGGCCTACGACGCCAAGCAGTGATTCTAGAGGGCTTGATTAAAGACACAAAGAACTTCTCAGATGACGCTGTTAGAGCAGCTACGGTCTATTCGAATATCGTCCAAGCCATTTTGGAAGCATACAAAGCAGCAAAGAGTGCAAATAACACTGCTTCGTCCACAAACATGAAGGTACAAACATGAAATTATGCTTGTCGCCAATAAAGCGTAATTTATACATTGTCATTTACCTCAACGACCTTCTCCGTGCATGATCTTATCCAGGAGTTGCTAGGAAATGCACTTAATGAACCGCGCAGCAGCAATACTTTCTTCTTAACCACCTTCTTACTTCTTCTTTGACATTCTGGCACTTTTTCCTCCTTTGTTGCCCTTTTCGTTATTCTGCTCCTAACTCTATTTTAATAAGGTAATCTGCAAGGCCCTCTTCTAGTTGCATTTTTGTTCAGTAAGATCCATCAGCCGTCATTACAAAAAGATAGCAGCATTTGCTTGAACTGAAGTTCTTTTATCTCTAAGCATACAAAACGTAATTATCTTTTAGGCACAGGAAGTGAAAAGTCGATCTGAGCAAGTATTGGCACAATCAGAAACGGTTAAGTCAAAAGCAGACATGCTCGCGAAGGATGTTGGGACTTTGAAACAACCCTACGACGATCTCGGCGAACAACTGAAAGAACTGCGAAAGTTGAAAGAGAAAGTTAAAGCAAAACTAAAGGCTGTGACAGCGAAATTCCCTGTCTTTGAAAAGGCGAAGGAGATAGGTTCGTTTCAGTGTACCTTTTGCGTCCCGCTCTCAGAAATTTTTTTTATTTGTTAAATGCTTTTTTTTACTTCTGAATTTCTGGATCAAGAAAATTTGATTGTTTCAACAGGTATGAAGGCAGAAGCAACTAGAAAACAAGCTATGGAGGCCGCCATGAAGGCTAAAGCTGCCCTTGATTTCGCTAAAAACATTAAGGTAAGTTAGTTTGCAGTTCTTAACATTGTAATGTAAAGGTATTGGTATTTACCAGGCTATGCAAGAGTCCATAAAAGCCTTCAGCCTTTTTATGATAAATTTTTGAGGCATTTGGTCTCATCATTATAGAACTAAGATGTTGGTCCGTTAATGGGTTCTGTGTTCTGATTTTCACAAAAAACCCCTTCTCTTACACAGAAAAAGAAGATTTTTGTAAGCGAAATTGTCAATGACAGGGCTGCTTTCTTTTTTGAATGACCTTTGGAAATAGGAATAAGGATAGCATAATAGTCACTTATTTCTACGTTGCGTTCCCTTCTAGTTTCATGCTCCCCGTGACAACATAGTCATGTGCCCAACTGTTCTCCTTAAATTGGAATTTGTTACCTAAAAATTAATTGAATCATGATCTTTATTGTCAATGATTATTGGATGGAATCATGATCTATAAAGCAAGCCAACAAAATGTGTATAAGTTTGATATTAATTGCAGCTTATTAAATGAAGAGTGTGTGAATGAAAAATAGGCCACAATAGCAGGCTGCTCGACGGAATCCGATAGAATTCTTGCGGTGAAAAATCGATAAAATGTAGAAAGTAAGTAACACCGCAACGCGACGAGAATGAGCAACAACAAACAACATAAATCAGTTATGGCTGATGTTTCGCCCCGGCATACGGGGCTTCATCAGAGCAAAAGTAAACGGACAAAAAAATGCCACATCCAGGGAAATATTAGCCATAACTGGCTTACGTGTATTTGTTGTTGTTCATTCTCGTCGCGTTACGGTGTTGCTTATTTACTACATTTTATCAAATAAACCTTAGAGTTGCAAAGTTACTTTCTTCATTGGTTGTTTTCAAATTGTAGTTTCTTCCATGCTCTATTGCCACGCATGTTTTTATTCCTAGTCTCAAATAATGGAGCTCAAACAAATATCACTAAGCTGAGAACAGGCATTGATGATGTTGGGAAGTTGATCAATTCTGCTGACAAATTCGTGCGTGACCTGGAATCTGAGGTGCCAAAATACGAGACTGCGCTCAACAAAACAAAAGCTCAGCACGAAAAGCTTGACCAGTTCATCATTTCAAATCTCACCTACACATTGGAAAGTATACGATATAAAATAAACCACGCGAGGAGTCTTGCTAACAGCGCACCAATCGCAGCCAAGTTTGGTCCAACGACTACTGTGACCCTGGAATCACCTATAGTCGAAGGGGAGGCTGAAACTGTAGCGGAAATGGATATAAAGACAACAGAAAAGGAAGGGCTTCTTATGTATATTGGTGGCAGTTCAAATACCACGCGGCGAAGACGACAGGCTGTTGGAGGCATGGACTTTTTGGCACTGACACTCTCGAATGGCTTTGTGGAATTCAGTGCCAAGACGAATGGAGGTATGCTAAAAGTCCGATCAATGCAGGCTGTTTCTGATGATAAATGGTACAGAATCACAGCTAAGAGGTAATTTGATGGCATTAGCTACAAGTAAAAGAAAATTTAAAAATGACAGATAGAAAAGTGGTTTAAGCTATCTGTCAATCAATATTAGCCAATCAATGAGCGTGTGAGTGTCATCATTCTCACTGATTGGTCAATTTTTGACTGAAACTTGGCATAAGCCCCTTAAGTATCTTTCGATTGTCTTTAAATATATTTGTTAGCCAAATTATGTAAGGTTGGAACTAAAGGCAAGTTCAATTGAATGTGATAGTTAGAAAGATAGGAGAATTCAATGGTTTTAACAGCATAGTAGCCACCATTGTAGCACGTATCCTATATACACTGGCTCCTTTTAGTGGTTTTTAATGAAAAGCGTACGTTAAATGACATATAATTTGGTGAATAAAAATTTGAATCTATTCTCCTACTAGTTGTTTCAAGATATATATAGAATATCAATTTATTTTATTCAACCCATTCCCACGAAACTGTTTAAAACTGACTCTTGTCCAAACTCTTTAAAATCTCTCGGTTTGTTGAATATTTTTGTTATGGCGAAAATTAGGCCTGCTACTGAATATTGCTTCGGAAGAATTTTTGCAAATATATTTTTGAAAGCCTAATATAAGTGGTGTACCTGTACGGAAAACATTCGCAGTCGAAAACATCGTTAATAAGGCCACTCGTCATTGCATGAATTGACTGGTAATAACTATGGCTCAGTGAAAAGGGTCTCCGATTACAGGTCCAACCAAAAGTATGGAGTTTGAGTTCATGCTATGTCATAACTTTTACTTAGAATGAGGGGTTTCGCTTACTTTCTGTAATTCAAGGCGTATGAATCAGGAGATGGGGTCACAGTGAAAGGAAGGACCAAGACACTGCTTGATAAGAATTGAGAGGAAGGACCGGGACACTGTTTGATAGGAATTGAGAGGAAGGACCGGGACACTGTTTGATAGGAATTGAGAGGAAGGACCGGGCACTGCTTGTCAAGAATTGAGAGGAAGGACCAGGACACTGTTTGATAGGAATTGAGAGGAAGGACCGGGCACTGCTTGTCAAGAATTGAGAGGTAGGACCAGGACACTGTTTGATAAGAATTGAGAGGAAGGACCGGGACACTGTTTGATAGGAATTGAGAGGAAGGACCGGGCACTGCTTGTCAAGAATTGAGAGGTAGGACCAGGACACTGTTTGATAAGAATTGAGAGGAAGGACCGGGACACTGTTTGATAGGAATTGAGAGGAAGGACCGGGACACTGTTTGATAAGCAAAGCATCTCAGTATCCTAAAACCTTCCTTAGGATCAAGGTAGTTACATATTCAAAAAAAAGAGGTGTTGCAGCAATCTTAGAAATTAAGTGACAGAAAGAGGAAGCGTGATCAAATTTATTCAAAGTTTTAAAATTTTGCAAGTAAGTGTTGTCAAGATCCTCTGCTTCCTAGTGTAAACTTGTAGCTCTCGCATACCCCTGTTGACATTTCTTTCTCCTGGTAGAACATCAGACATGTTGAAACTGGAGACTGGACTTGCAAACACAACTACTAGAAAGCTGAATAGCGTTTCGGATGAAGGCCTGTCGAGTATTAAGTTGCCAAAATCCAGTGATATCTTTGTTGGTGGAGTTCCAGCTGGGAAGAAGATTCCAAACTTAGTTTCGACCACCAACTTCCAGGGAGCAATAGACAGAGTGAAGATCAATGGTGAGGCCGTTGGCCTGTGGAACTGGAAGGTACTGCAAATCAAGTTTTGCTTTCTTAGTTGTATCCAAATATTGTTACATCTTACACGTTTAGACGCCCAAGGCTGTCTACTTCATTTTTCAAACATTATTCTATGTATGCAGAACCCATGGATTCAGGTTGTATTGTTCCTTAAGATTTACTCTAATTAAGTATGTATTTAAGTATCTATAGTTCGAAAATGACTTGATGTAATAGTATTGCTGTTGTAATGCTTCTAGAGTTTACTCTGCTCGGAATACAAATAATTCTATCCAAATTACAAAGGCTCTGTTACTGTAGTTTTCACCACTTAATCCTTCATTCAATCTCGATGCTTGTGGATGACTAGATCAGATTTGAACACACTACCACAGCCATACATCAAGTACGGTTACTGCTGAACACTTACAGTCTTTAAATTGTTTTACAGGCTAATGATAAGCTGGATGGAGCTATACAGCAAAAAGAGACTAACCCTGTGCCTTCTCTGCAATTCTTTGGTGACGGATTCCTGAAATACAAGTTGAGATCCGATCACATTTTCCGCAAAGTCAAGTTTAGTTTTAAAACCCTACAGAAGGATGCTCTTTTGCTTTATGGGCCAGATTTGATCGCTTACAAGGAGCTTTTTATATCGTTTGAATTGAAAAATGGACACTTGATATATCGTTACAATAACGGTCTGACCGGCGGAGAGACAGTCTACTCGTCCGAAGGTAAAATGTCTCCGCTCAATGATGGCAAAATTCACGCTGTCGTTAAGAGGAAAGACAAGTTTTCGATAGATGGTGTGCTCATTGCAGAGTTTAAGTCATCAACGCAAGACCTTTCTGGCGAGTTCGCCTATATTGGCGGAGTGCCGTTTGGCCACGTGATGAGATCAAGGTTTGTCTGTTTGTTACATTTAAAACTCCAACGTAGTAGTTAGGTTTTAACTATGCAGTGATGAACAACATTACCTAGGGATGTATACACATTTCGCGATATACAGGGAATGCGAAGTATTTAGATTAAAGTTTTTTCAAATTTCGATGATGTTAACGGTTAAGTATCGTAAGAAAGACTTTCACAATATTCTGCTATTAAAAGTTTTTTACACAGTAATGGTCCCCCAAAGTTTTAACAATATTAGACAGAATGAAGAAATGTAGGATTTACGACGTTAATTATTTAAGGAATTTCTTTAGCAAAATTCCCGTTCTGTGAAGCTGGTAATAAAGGGCGTGTTGAATTTATCGTCTTTTTATTAATACTCTAACCAGTCTTTCGAGTTTCTTGCCTTCTTCTTCCTATTCTTCACTGACCTTCTCTCTTCTTTTGCCCTCTCCGTTCTTTCACCTTCTTCCGCTCTCTCTCCTCCTGTCTATCATTTCCTCAATCCCTGTCTTTCCTTACATCTCCCTCTAACTTCCTTCTCCTTTCCTCTATTCCGTCTCCCTCCGCTTTTTATCTCATTCTCTCCCTTCCAAATCTCCCCCTCTCCAAAGTCTCTCTTTCCTTCCCTCTCCCTACCTATCTCCCTCCCTCCAGCCCTACCCCTCCAGGCCTACTTCTCTTTCGATTCCTAATCAACTCCGTTTTCTTGCAGTTCTATAACCACAGCGCCTTTCAAAGGATGTTTCATAGCCAAGAAAGCGTCAGAAACAATAGCTGTTTTTAGGACCTGGATTGACGTGACTTCAAGGCAGAAAATCGTGGATTTCAAAAATTACCGATCTGGGTGCAGTAAACATGTAAGTGAGGTTGCTATATGACGATTGGTTAAAGATAAGGAACCAATCAAATACATCTTTTACCTCCCCATCTTTGTCCAAACCTGGATATAATATTATGTTCAATTTTTAATCATAATCCTACTTTTTATAATATATGGACTACATTTGAAACAAGCGCACAACATATTTTATTCTGTGATAAGATTCCATAGATATTTCATTTAGTGATCATATTCCATCCAAAATTTAATTGTAATTTATTCAGTCTTTCTCTTTCTCGTGCTATACACGACACCGATTTATGCCGTACTTAACATCGATTTTCCGTTGTCGTACTGTCGAGGTCCTCTTACTTACGTTCAACATACATTCCTGATTATCCTTTCACAGTTCGCAAAGGGAGCCTCATTCACAGGGCCGTCGTCGTATTTGGCTGTTACTGCATCCTCATGTAGCCTATCGAAGTCTAAGCGTCTTGGATTCAGTTTCCAAACATATGTATCTCGAGGGGTGCTCCTATACGGACAAGGCCAAGGGGTATGTCGTTTAAATCATTCCATATACTCGTGCTTTAGAAAATCAAGCGCCATGAAAACGAAACATTTATGTATTGATTGTAGTGAAACCACGCTTAGAGTCGAAACAAACTAATAATAGAGCTTTCCAGCTTGGTATCAAAAGCTAGGCCAATTATCAATGTGGTTCATTAGATATCTGATTAATAAGCAGTAATTCTTTTATACTTATCTTTCCTTATTAAATTGACAGCAGATGATGATAATATCATATGTTACATTCATTCTTATTTTTGATTAAATTCACTAAAGTAACAAGCTAACTTGTTTGGGAGAGAGGTTTTTGCACGAGTTAAGCAACCCACCGTCCTGGAGTCACAGAGCATGGGTATGGAACAAAGTCATTATTACACATCCTTCTTGACGTCAGGGCGGGGGATTTTAAAACAATAAAAGTTTTTCGTTAACTCATCTCCACAACAAGAGCGACAAAATCACCTGAACAGAGGTTATTTCTAAATATGAATGTGTTTTTCAGAAGGGACACTTGAATAGGCCTTACAGAAAGGCATGCCGGTCAATGCTAAAAAGAATTGACCGTTCACTTCTATCCGTAAGAATTGCCTTTGCCATAGGCTGTTTGATGGTAGGTCAAAGGGGGTTCTGCATGCAATCAAAATAAGCGCAATTTTGCTAGATAATGATCAAATCGATTTTCGTCCCAGCAGGCAACGCTTGAATATGTCAATTTTTGTCTCAGGTCATTCACATTAAGTACTCTGAAGGATAGGCACTGTTTTTCAGTGCCGTCGGAACGAAATTCAGATTGGGGTGTGGGGGGGCTGCCCATTGTCTTCCTTCTCATTCATTCCACTGTTATAAAGGAAACATACTAAAGTTTGACAATTATTTGGGGGCCCCTCCTAGAACCCCCCTCCCCCACCCCCAGTTCCGACGGGCCTGTTGCTAAAATTGTCTTTCTGGCGCCTAACATTTATCTCCATCTTAGGCTATAAGAAACTTTCCTTATTTATCGCTAAAATTGCCATCCTTTTTTGTTGCTAGGGTGCTCACTTGAGTTTGATCATAAACGAGGATGGAGCGGTATCCATGTCCGTGAAAAGTGGACCAGGAAACAACGGAATCATTGTCACAGACCAGAAGAACCTCAATGACGGAAAATGGCATCTTGTGGAGGTCAGGCACGATGGAAGCAAGTAAGTTGAAGTATAAAGAAACATGTTTGCATTTAGTAGGTCAATTTTTTTCTTTTCACAGATACCAGGTATTGGAATATGGCCATTTTAATCTGTCTAAAGGCTGTCTGTCGTGCTTGCCAAACTTTCTCTCTAATAACTAATTTTTCATTTTTTCCTAAAAGATCTAAACCTCAAGTTTATACCTCATAATCCTAAACCTGAACATTTTCTTGCGTTTAATGAAAATTACTGTTTACTGGTCTGTCGTAAAGCGCTCGATGACGTATAGGCGGAGTTGACACACTTTTGGTGTATAGACCCATCCTGTTCTATACTAGGATGGCTTATTAGAACGCTCTCATTTCTTCGATAAATTCCTTCCGCTTAGCCGAAACGTAGCTGTAACAAGTAATAGAATAATGTCAATGATGCGATGTTGTTTTTTTAAATATACAATCAATTTTTGCAAATGACACTGGGTTTTACAGCCTGTACCTATCAAAAAAACGTAGATTTGTAACCCACGAAATAGTTCGTGTTCTGACCTTGACTCCACAACTACACGAGGAGTAGGCAGTCGGAAGCTGGGTACAACAAGCAACTGATCCAATGCGCCGTACTTGGTGTCAAGGTAATTTTGATCCACACCTTGACATGGTTTTCGCTCACTCCCATCTAAAAGCTTTATACAATGATGAACGCAAAAGTGGTATTTTCGTATTATTCAGAATTCGTTTCCTGCCTTCTTCAATTTTCTTTACTGCTAACTTTTTTTGTAGAGTGTCACTTAAAGTTGACGGACAACTGAAAGAAGTCAGCTTCGACCAAGAAATCAAACTGGATGGTAAAATGTACATTGGTGGACTACCGCCATCCGTGAAAATTGATGTAATTGAAACCTCCAGTATGAATGGTAACATAAAGAACATCTTCTGCGACTCGAGGTAAGTAGATGCCCAATATTTGATGCAAAATATCTGCATAACATAACATAGCTATTGGGTTCTGAGATGATCATTGATAGGGGGCACTTGGTCAACTATTGGGGGTAAGCCTAGTGTTCTAGAACAGAAGACCATTCTCCTCCAAAATATTGTGGGGTGACCGCCACTGATCAAGTGACCAGGCTTCTTTGAACACCTCTCAGCGATAGACCTGTTTTTCTTAATCATCTGATGTGCGAATCGGTGATGTTATAAAACCTGAATAGAAGGCTTATCAAAATGGCTTAATACAAGGTTCGTTGACAGTCTGGAAAGCTTGAAAATGGCTGATTTTTAGAAAAGGCGTTGGAGATTATGTTATATTAATCTGGGTCTAGGGAGAGCCAGAGCAATTTTATAACGGCTTGTTTTGTGGTCTGAATTGTACACCTATCAAAATTACTTCTTGCAGCCTGGCTCATTCTCTAAGAGCTGTCTTCCGCCTTTTTTTGTTGTTATTGATTCTCTCGCGCGTATCCAAAGCAAATTTTACGGACTGTGGTAGATCTTCAGTCGGACTCGTCGAGGCCTTTTTGATCAAGGATAGTCTGCCCTCATCTTAAGTCAAGAAAACGTTACAGAAAACTAGGAAATTTTGATTTGGGTAATAAGTCAGAAAATCTTTCTTCTTTTCACAAACTATCCGAAAATCTAACCATAGCTAAATAGATCGGTACATTTGACAGTGTGCTTTCCTATAGTTGATGCTATTTTAAAATTCATTAAATCTTTAAAGTAGTTGAGAAATCAAAGTTGAAAGTCATTGCTTTGCCTTTTCAGTGAAATCGATTTGGGTCTTGCGAGCGTTGAAATGCAAGGTGTTAAGCTAGCCGAAAGGGAACTGTTGCCTTTGACTAAGCCAACGACGTTGCCACCAACTACAACACCAGGCAAAACAACTACAAAAGCGGGGACGATAACTTCTCCTATAGATCCAATCAAAGTGGAAACTACGGTAGCTACACCAGCAATGCCTTCTACCGCGGAAGTTACTTCAACCCAGCGAGACGACATTACGTCAAAATCAACAACAATCAGTGTTGGTACCACTAACATACCACCGCCCACAGAAAAGCCTACAACTGCAGAGCAATTGACTACCAAAGAGTCCACCACTACAATGAAACCTACCACAACCATGGAACCAACAACCACAATGAAGCCAACGACCACCATGAAACCCACTACAACGATGGAGCCAACAACAACTATGGAACCAACGACTACCATGGAACCAACGACTACCATGGAGAAAACCACCACCATGGAACCAACGACCACCATGGAACCAACGACCACCATGGAACCAACGACCACCATGAAACCAACGACCACTATGAAACCAACGACTACCATGAAACCAACGACTACCAAGAAGCCAACGACTACCATGAAACCAACGACCACTATGGAACCAACGACCACCATGGAACCAACGACCACCATGGAACCAACGACCACCATGAAACCAACGACCACCATGAAACCCACAACAACACAACCACCTACCACCAAGCCGAAGGTTCTTAAATGCGCTCTCTCGGGCATGCCAGATGGACCGGGCTACGGCTTCGGTTTATCAGCTCAGAGTTACATACCATTCCCAGTGAATTCTGGTGACTTATTCAAAAGGTATGTACTCATGTACTTCTATTTGCTATCATGGTTGCTCATTGTTCATGTTAATCATTATAAACACAATCATCATAATAAGTCAATCAGTCATCAATCAGTCATCAATCAGTCATCAATCAGTCATCAATCATCTTCCATCTTCAGTCGTCGTCAGCCGTCGTCAGCCGTCGTCAGTCGTCGTCAGTCGTCGTCAGTCGTCGTCGATTATCATCACCAGTCATCGTCGTCGAATATAATCAGTCATCATTAATCATCATTAATCATCATTAATCATCATCAGACATCAGTCATCAAACGTCGAGCCGAAAATATCAGATATTATCGATCCCATCACTGTTGTAATTAGGACAATATTACTTACTTTGACTTGTTATATCTGCTCTAGTCCTCGTAGGTTCATATTTCTTTTTGTTCACCTTCCCATGTGTGCTTTCGCCTTTTGTATATCCCAGTGCTAATGTTTTGTTCCAACAGCCTGTTTATCAGTACACCGGCTGTTAAGGTCTTATTAATTTCACCCATTTTGGTTATGGAAATAATTTTTTTTTTTCAGCTCGAAGTATAGCTTCCTACTATCAACGTACTCGGCCAATGGAGTATTGGTGATATCTTTTAAGCAAAAAGATGTCTTTGATTATGAAATAGTTTATCTGGACGATGGCAAAATCAAGTATGCATTTAATGCTGGAACTGGTGCTGGGGTGCTCGTCTCAGCGCAGACTGTTAACGATGGAAAATTGCATTCAGTAACTACAACAAGGAGATCTAGAGATGGAAAGCTCACTGTTGATGGTACAACTGTTACAGGTAAAAGCAATGGAGGAGCCACAGCGTTGAATTCAATAAGCAAAATCTATGTAGGCGGAGCACCTCCAGAGCTGAACACACTTCAGAAATTAGAGGTAAGATGTAATTGATGCATCTATGATTTCGAAAGTTTTATCTAGAGCTAGATGCTTGTTGTTTGGTATATATTTAATGATTTTGCATATCCACGTTAACAGGTGACTATGGGCAAATGGGCCTTAAGTACTGATACCTGGCCGGTGGGCTTACATTCAAATGGGCTTATAAGCTTAGAATTCTTTATGTACTGTTTATGTACATTATAACATGTGTATTTTGTCAGCTCAGTCATCTGTTGCATTTTCAGACCGCTTCAAGAGCCAGCATTCAAGGCTGTATAAGCGACTTCAAGCTTAACGGCAAGACACTTGAATCAGAAGAACCTGTGGGGGTAACAGGATGTCACTCAAGCTACAGCAGGAAAGGTCTCTTCGTAGGCACCAACGGTGGCTATGGTACCGCAAGTATGTAACCACATTTCTCATTTTGTCGATGGGGCATTGAAAGCATACCAATAGGCTCTTTGCAGCTAGGCGTCACGTGCTTGGTTACCGCATAGAAACGCCATACTGGAGAGCATGAGATCCAGCGGCCTATACGTGAACAATACGATCGCACGTTTTCTTCGTAAATATTCTGAGTTTATTCGTAGTTTTGGAAGATGTATCAGCATATTTTATCCTTTTAAAAATAAAATATAGTATTATATGTTAATTCTATTCACACTGGTGGAGCCAAAAACTCTTAACTCTTAATACTTTTGGCTTCTTGAGAGAGCTGCTACACAAAAGACAGGCTCAAAGGCAATCTGTCACGACGTCGATTGATTGTAAGAAAAACGGGATTTTTATTGTTTCCAGTCCCCCTTTAATTTATCGCATTGTAAAAAATATGGCGGAGCGCTGGAATTGTGTTTAGGCTATTGTTCCAGCTATTGTTCTTGTTAACCAATCCACAACGAGACAGATTGCCTATTTAAGTAAGAAACAGGGCGAATGCAGGCGTCTGTATTGAAGACCATGAAAATCAGCCTGCTTGTCCTTTTGTTCATCTCTGTCTTCATTTAAATAGTCGTATCTACTAGCGAAGAAAAAAGAGAAATTTGAAATAAATATCCAACCCATCCATACGTGTTCTTTTGAGTTTGGTTTCCAATTTGATCGTATATTATCTTGTGAAAGCCGTCTATCCACCCATATTCTTTTATATTTCCTGTCTAACTTTCGTTGCCAGCTGCCTTGTTCATTTTTTTTTCTTTACTATATTCAAATCTATCTAATCTTTAATGTATTTGGTGTTAAAAAGGCTTTCTTGTTTGATAATCCTTGAATTTTGTTTGCAGAGGGTGAGAAGATCGGTGTAAACACAATAATAAAAATGACAATCAGAGCAAGAAGCGAAAATGGTGTTTTATTCTATTTGGGAAGAGGACAGTACGATTACCTTGGTATTGAGTTGATAAAGGGAGAGGTAAGGAGCATTTTATTGAATCGCTTTTTAATGAATTCAGTTACAGGCATTTAACCATGATGAAAGGAGAAAGTATAAAATTCTGTATGACGTCACAAAAAGTTGAATTGTTTGATTATTTTACTTTTGGCCACTTGATCTCAATCATTTTGATCAGTTAGCAAAGTCAGTTAAATTGAACGAGATATGGCCAAATTCTGCTTGACGTCACAAAAAGTTAAATTGTTTGATTATTTGACTTTTGGCCACTTGATCTAAATCATTTTGATCAGTTAGCAAAGTCAGTTAAATTGAACGAGATATGGCCAATAAAAGATTTGAAGTCTGCTAAAGGATAACTATGGCGTGCTTCATAAAGAACAGAGGCCAAATTGCAGTGGTTCGATGGTGGAAGTTCCTGTGTCTATGTGGTTACAGCCTGTTTGTAATAAATTGTACTTATGTTGCATATGTGGTTGTATTTCGTGAATCTCTCTCGGGTTTAGTTGACCAAATATCGAAAATTTATTGAAATAGATTTTTGTGATGTCATCACTTGAACACTTTGTTTCCAACTACGACGAGCTACGACGAGTCCTAATAATTTTGCTTCAATACTATAGATGGAACTTAGACTGATCACATGGAGTAAGCTCGTACTCCTTTGGAAAACAGGTTTCGTCAACCGTCAGTTGTCGAAACTAAATGAGCGCCAAAACCACATGAATCTACGTTAATAACACTCGTGATGCCTTAGAAAATATTCGATACATTCTTCACCTAAGGTTCTTGTTTTGTAATGAGCCTTTCATAAACACATTCATTACGGTACCCTTATTCAAAGTTCCATTGTTTTTACTTGCGTTCAAAATGCTATTTATTTGTTCTTTTTATATGCCATTTGAAAATGCCGGATACCTTTCTAAATTCTAAGTTAATTTCGAATGAAGAAAACATTTGATATATTTTATCCTGGAGCCCAGTTTCTGATGTAGGCATTTACAGCTTTACTTTTAAATCCTAACTTTTTAAGTATGAATATATATTGATAAAATTTTGAAACTTTTCAAGGTCCATGTGGCAGTGCAAAATGGAGCAGGCTCCTACAAGACTAGTGTTGCGCCTGAGCCATGGACAAAAGTATGTGATGGCAAGGCACACGAGATAAGCATAGTGAAAGAGGGTCGTAAAGTCACAGTTACTGTTGACTCAATGCCTCCAAAGGTTGTTACTGGACCAGGAGGATCTTCATCTGTTGACACTGGAAACGAACTTGCCTACTTCGGTGGCATAAGTATGCCTTTTTCAATTCTTGTCTTGTTAATTAATTGTTTTGCAGTTTCCAAAGACTCTTAGCTGGAAAATCTTTCTAAAATAGGCTTCTTGGATTCATAAATCAATTGTTTTGCAGTTTCCAACGACTCTAAAGCTGGAAAATGTTTCTAAAATAGGCTTCTTGGATTCATAAATCTCCTTTTCTAACATTCTGCCAAAATAACTTGGAAACAGTATTGATAGTCTTGATTTATACCATACAAGTTAACCATATATACCAAACTCGGAGTAGTAGCTTAGAACCATACTGTTCTATACACCCAATAGCGTACCATACAAGTTACAAGAAAAGACGTAGATTGTAGATTGTGTTACATCTGTCACGTCAATATCAGCAGAAAATCATCTTCATGATGAAAGCATTTCCTTGATCCAGCATGATAATGTCTCTCTCTTTGTAAAACAGGTTCTCGGGTTACTGCATACGGCATGTCAACACGGGATTCTTTCAATGGCTGCATTCTCAAATACGAGGTTGATGGAAAAGACAAGACAAATGTCATTACACCCGAAGGCCTTGCTGCGTACGGATGCAGTGACGCATAATAGTCATTTGAACTTTATAGCTAGCTAAGAAACAAATTTTATGTTTTAACTTTCTGTTTTTGTCCAATTTTATTAATGTTCTGTATTTTTTATAGTTTTCTGAAGTTCGCTTGTAATATTGTCTCTCCGCCATGCTTAGAGACTCCATAAATGCCACCTGAGCGAACTAGTAACATTATTACCTCTACCCGTAGCCTTAGGCCCTTTTTGTCTAAGAATCAACAATCAACAAGCTGACACGTGACACCCTGGAACTGGATGATATTCCAAGAAAGTATTCCGCTCTAATATGAACAGATTCCCATATGGAGGAGCATCTACGCAAGCGTACTTTTTCTATGCTCGATTTTCTTATCAAGAGGCTAGACCTCGCTATTTTACGATTTTCTTAAACTATTTTACTGGATTTGTCGTTTCAAGCAAGCCGAAAGCTGTTTCGTATAATTTTTTTGCATGTCCTGTAATTTCAGCAGAAGATAGTTAGTTCATTGTGATAAATTGTTAAACACAACTCGTTTTGTACTCTCAAAAACCTTCAAACATTCAGCTCGGTTTATTAGAGAGAAAAAATCATTAAAACTTCTTTATGTCCGCGCATTCATAGTGTTGTTTTCCGCATGTTAGAAATCAGTTCCCGTTAAACCTTAGTGATGTAACATCTTCTCATATGAATCAGCTTTTGGTTTGTCTTTAGTGCCAGCTGTAGATCCAGGTGTAGTTTTGTCGCTATAGCTCTTTAGGGAGCTGTTCTCGTGTGGAATGATCATTTTTTGCTATTCAATACATTATTTCTTGAAAACTTATTTCAAGTAAGTTAGATTGGCGAATGTACGAAAAACTATGACTGAACTTTCCGCTACACTTGATTTTACAGCTGGGCCACTTTCACCGGATTTGTCGACGTTTTATTTGATTTTATATCATAGAATTAATTTTTGATACCATGAACTATTTTTTTACGTAAGCAAGATATCGTAAAGGTTTTGTATCATTTTTTAAAACAGTTTTCAAAACATTGATTTGATAATGAGGACCTGCAAAGCAATTTGCAAAAAGTTGTCTTTCGTTTTTGTATTTACTTCAAATTTCATCGAGACTGCAAAAAGCTTGGAGTAATATTGCCAAGTTTTTTTGTATAGCTAAAATAAAAGCGACAGTTTAACTGGCTGGCCTGTGTGCCTTAGTGTCGTATGACATAGCAGTTTTTCTTTAGCTTTAAACAATTACAGTACCATTGAATTTAGAAAAACAGTGCAATTGAAGCAATAGAGTCAAATGCAATACGTTTCGATGTCACTGTTGACTGTATGCTACATGAAAACAAAAGAATGCTTGAGGCATAAAGTCACCTTCATGGTCCACTTGGGAATCAAAATGCTGCGAAATATAACAGGCAAGAAACCCCTTGGGACAAGATGCACCACTAGCGCCATAATAACAAGAAGCCTAAATGGCCTAAGAAGAAGTACCAAGATGTTGGGATTACCTCGTAAGGTACCTTAAAGCAAAGAGTTAGGAGAGTGCTTTGCCCAAAATTATTTATTTTCGTACGAAAACATGCATCTTTTCATGCCATATTACTGATGCTGAAGTAAATAGAATCGACGAGTACTCGAAAGGAGGAAAGCCTTTTAAGAATCGTCGCGAGGGATTTTATGTCAAGTTGTTGAACCACAGTTTGCAGAGACAAGCAGTATATATAACAATCATGCTACGAAATACAAACGAAGCGTAGATTGCATACGTAAGTTGGCATTAGATTGCTTATACCCTGGACTCGATTCCATTCGATTAAATGAGGTTTTCTGTTCCTGATGTGTGTAACGAGAGTAGGGAAGGCGTACTTTTGCCGAAGGATTTAACAACAATCTAATCTCAATAGCTAATAAATGCTATGCTTTTAAATTTTCCTCTTGCTCGGAATTTTCTTAAAAGTAAGGGGCTAAAATAAAGGAAATGTGGGGAGGGGTAACAAAGAAACGTCTACAGAGACAGGTAAAGAAGGTCGTAAGTTCCTAATGATTTGTTTATATGAAACATGTAGGAGCTTGTGAAAGTAAAATGTAACGAAAGAAGGTAAAAATGTATCAAATATCGTAAAAGCTCTATCAAGGAGGGTTTTTTGTCAGTCCTAGAGGGGGGCTTGAGAGTAAGGGTGCACATAACAGAGAGGGGGCTTATTAGTGATGATTAGTGATGCAATGTCAACAGTGTTGTAAAATTGCCCTTGTGCTTTTTTTGTTATGAATATGTCATACAAGCGTTCTCAAAAACTCTCCTTACAGCTTCGAAAGTTTCTTAAAACCAATCAATAATAATTTCTTCATCTTCCTCAGAGTCATCAGGATCAATTGATTGTTTATAAAGCGCTCAAGTAAATATTTACAAAGGCTGTATTTATATCACACAATCTAATCATCATCACACCCGTCAAGAAACCCACTCAATGCATATGTTTTCAATTTTTGACATTGGGGGCTTTAGAGGTTGAGCTTGATAGAAAAGGGGGGTTATTTCAATTTTTTCTTGATAAAGGGGGCTTGATAGAGCTTTTACGGTAAAAGAGCCTGGTTCACTCTATCAAAATACTTCCCAATCTCTATGACTCTATTATGTCTTGCAAAAACAAAACAAAATTGCCATAAATTCTCAAATTGCCCACCTCCCTAGAATTAGCCCCATTTTATAAGTAGACCTTTGACAGCAATACGGGTACCTCAATTAGGTATTCTATTTGCTAATAGGTAAGCTGCTTATAGGTATTCTACTTATGTTTTTGAAACGTGGGGAAGACCGGCATTATTCTAAAATTTTTTTTAAGCGACACAAGCAATAACTGAGTCGCATTATTTGACTCTAAAAGCCGGATACATCTACTTAAAAGCATATAGTAATAAACTTGTATTTGTTTTGCTTTTTAAGAACATACAAATAAACCAAAAAAAATTAATTCCTGATGAAGATTGAACCCTGCATATGAATTACTAGATCATTCCAATATGAATTTTCTGTCGTTCAACTGCGTCTTTCAATACAATTTGCAAATTACCTCGATTGCAAAATAAATAATTTCCTACCTGCTCCAAGCTTTGGCGCAAATAATTCTTCCTTCGCTTATGTTAAGCACATTTGTTTTTCTGTAGATGTTAGCTTTGTAAAATTAAGGGTTACACTGATGATGGAAAGTTTGAAGTGAAGAGTTTTGCCCGGAAAGACTTTTGATTTTCCAGCCCCACTTGCATATTCAGCTCCACATTTCGAATTCCAGCTCCAAGATAAGGGCACAAATCCAGCTTAGAATGAGCTCTATTTTTGAGAATATGACAACCAATTTGAATTCTTGGTTATACAGAATCACAAGAAACCAAACTCGTGTAGCGACATTTAATAGCGATGAAGTATATAATGTTTCAAAAATTTTAGTATTGTCTTTTTTCGAACTATACCAATCAGATGGACAAAACTTGTGACGATAAAGCAAGGTATAGATAGCAATTGCACAGCAGCTTGAGAAGTAAATGTTAAATTTTCTCCAATTTAGTTATCGGTCTGCTTCGTTTGACCATACAACTGTAAAGTTTAAACTCGAAACTGGTGACATGATCCATTTTTGCTCTGAATTTTAAATGTTCTCTGATTTAAGAGTTTGAATAGGCTCCTGCGTTGCCACTATGAATTTCCAGCTTCGTGTAAATGTGACTCAAAAATGATTTGGCGAGTATTAAGTTTCGTAAAAATTATATTTCCTCAGCATTGAATGTCTTTTTTTATCTATAACTTCTTTATCCCAATAGGTGTTTGTTTCATTTGAGCATCATCTTTATTATCATTTCTATGTTTCATCATTTAAACGTTTGTTTGTTTTTCTCTGCAAAAGTTTTCCAGAAACTTCTGTTCATTAAAGAAAAATTGTAGATCTGCACAGATTTTTCTTTAGAATTCTACAAAAGACTTTTAGAACTGCACATTTTGTGTAGAACTGCACGTTTAAAAAACACCCGGTTCCTACGTCTATGGTTTCTTATTACACAACAATTCTCCCACATATTTTTGCTCCTTAGTTTTGTTGATGAATTCTTTTTCAATTTTAAAGTTGTACAACAAGTTTTATCTATGAACATGAGAACAAACCAAAACTCAGATTTTGGGATAGTTAAGATGGTACCTGATGATGATGATGACAACAACAGGATGTATCTAACATAGTTGTTGTTGTTGTTGTCATTCTGTTCAGGGCAGTGTGTTTGGAGTTTGTGCAATCTGGAAATGGTAAGGTCAAATTTCATGTATTTCATAAAACCATATCTCCTGTTGAAATCATCACTTTTAGTAAAATTTGTGTGTAAACTCCTTCTGTTTCTTGTATCTCACTTGGCGTAATTGTCTCTTTCCATTACTATACCAGCTTCCTGATCACAAAAGTGCCCAAGTTTTGTTAGGCCTTCTTGTTCATGTGCCCACGGCATTTCCTGGCAACTTCCGCCTTCTGGCTAAACGAGCTTAGCAAATACGTGGCTCATAATTTCAGTTAGTTAGCCACCCACTCTACTGATTTATGATATTTTTTTATGTTTGTAGTTTATTTATTATGTAAATTAATAAATTCGGGCAAGTACACACTCCACCTACACGCTCCAGCCTTCAGAGAAAGGCAAATGCACACCTGGGATCAATTTAGAATGGCTAGCTTTGCACGTTGAAATCCTCAAAATTTAATTTTTTCTATATGGGGCTCCCTTGGCATTTGCTTAAAGGATGGACATTAAATAATTTTTATAGACACTCAGCGTTTATACGGATGCTTAAATGATATATATCCAGATTCTTTGTACCATCCTCCTTCACACCCTATAAATCTGCATCCAGACTGAAAAACTTGCATATTCTTGCCACTAGACTGGACTTCTCGTGCTTGCATCTCAGACCTCTTGTGACCTAAGATCAATGAAGTCATGTTTATAATACTTTAGTAATGTATGTATGAGCATTGTTGCTTGCTGCTCCAATGCTTCTGCTTGCAGCTGATAATGTGCTGTTGGTTGCAGTGAAGAGTCAGCAAAATGATAAACATTTTCCAACCGGGATCTGCACACAATATACTTTTACCAAAGGTGGCACCAATGTTGCCATGGAAGGGTTAGAAAATTTTTAAATTTGGATGTTTACCAGTTCGCTAGAAAATGCATACTTTCAAGCACATTTGACTAATACACTTTCTCATAGATGAATGTCCATAATAGGAGAGTTATTTCAAGGTTTTGATTGCTTTTTTGGTCTCGTTGATATATTTTTTAGCTTTTTAAACATTTTTGGATCTTGAAATTGGGACAATATCAAATTGAATGGTTGAAGTCTTGATATCGGGACTAGTTGAAATGGTTGGAATTTATAAACAAGAAGGGAGCAAATTATTTTGCACAAGGTCTTGGTCCTCCAATACCAATAGCTGCTGTATATTTAAGCATTTCTGAAAGGGCAAGGTTCTTGGAGATTTATGCTGAAATTCTTTCTACTGAAAACCCCATCCAATAAGGGCATGGTGCAAAAAAGAAAAAAAGATTTGAAAAAGGTGTTCTTTAAGAATTCATGCAGATTCAAAATGAAAATTTTTGTGAATCATGCAAAAATGTCATGGCTTGGCAAATCAACAATTCAGTTTTGATCCAGTTTTGTCCTTTTGGAGACCAGATATGGGTGGCTGGATTTATTTATGCCCTGAAGCAATTCATTTTACTCCTTTGCGCCATTTTTCTCTATGTCAAACATCTTCATTCTGTAAATCATATTTTTCATTTCTGCTTCCAATTGCATCTTTCTTGTCTTTCTGGGTCTTCCTCTCTTTCTCAGACCATCAACTTTAAACGTTAGCACCTTTCTTAGAACATCATCTTCTTGTCTCCTCAGGACATGTCCATACCATCATACTTCATTTGCTTTCTCTAGTGTATCCATCATTTCTTTAAAGCCCAACATATTTTTATCCACCGGTTTCACCCCACATATTGTCCTCACCATGGCTCTCTCTGCCCTTCTTAAAATCCACCATATAACATAGCTGATCTTACACAGGTCTAATAGATCCTTCCTTTAATCTTCAGAGAAAACTTTCTTCCAAGAAGTAATTCACTGCACTCTCTTAATTTTTTCCATCCACGTCTTGTTCTTGCTGTCACTGCAACTTCACATCCTCTTCTGGCACTCAACTTGTCAACTTGTCACCTAGGTAACAAAACAATTCCCACTGTTTCCATATTTTCCCATAATCCTTTGATAGGCTCTTTTTCCCCTTTCCAGATTTTCACATACCAAGCACATACAAAATGCCTTGCCATCTACCATAAGTCAATTTACCACAATTCGTACACACTCTCCTCCCACACACAACACATGGATCTATCTTGCTTCTCACCTCTCCTTCACTTCCACTCTCCATTAACTTTGTTTTGCTGAAGTTAACCTTAGTTCCTTTGACCTCAAACACTTCCATTTTCGAATTTTCTCTTTCCTCCTTGGTTTCACTTGTCACTTTCAAATCATCAAGGTATAGCAACCCTTCTCATAGAATTTCGTACAGCAACCCTTCCCCAGCATTTTCCATAATAATATAAACGATGATTGCAAACAAAAGGAGTGATAACACCAATCCTTGGTGTACTCCTACATTCACAAAACAAATGGAGCTCTTACCCAACTCTAACTCTTGTTTTTGCTCCTGTTTTTGCCAGAGAAGGGTTACTCATCACTGCTTTCACCATTGCCTTTGGCATGCCTATTTTCCCTGTCACCCATTCTGTTAACTGCATGAGGCTCGCTCAAATACATTTTCTAAATCCACAATACACATGTACAGCTTTTACTCCTTATCTTGATATTCTTTGTATATTCTTCTTAGTAATAATATTGCATCTATTGTCCCCTTTCCTAGCATAGAACCAAATTGCATCATGTTACTATTCTTCTTATAATTTCTATTCTTCTTGATCTCTCCTCCAGCATTCTTTCTGTATTCTTTGCTGGAGCATGCTATGAAAATAGCATGCTATGAAAATAGCATGCTCCAGCAACTTAACATCCCTTTATGCCCAACAGCTCAGCACACGCCCTTTCCCTTTAAAGATAGGCACTACCAGGCTTGTCTTTCATTCTTATTTAATTTCCTCACCTCCCAGATCAAGCTCACAGAGTTTCATCATTACATCATTACTGGTAAACTGTTTAAACAGCAATTTACATGCAGCCCACACAGTTGAAATGGCAGTTAGCAAGCAAGATCACGTCAGAAAATGCCTTTCTCTGCAAACTGGTAAACACTCCTTAAACTAAGATTCTATCATAAATGGTGATATCCATAATCCAACACATTACAGTTTTTTATTTGAATATGTTAACTGCTATTTTTGAGCTTTCTTTATTCTAAAGAAAAGCAAAGTAAGTCAGTAGAGGTTGCACATGCGCCAGGGTACAACAAAGTGCGAACATAGCCACCAAAATTTTAGGAAACAACTTTTCTCCAAGATGTTTGTTATGAATCTTAAATTTGCTCTTGCCCCTTAACAGGATAAATCCTCTGTTCATACTTCACTTCCCTATACTTGACCGCATATGTTGAATCCTGGATTCTTTCACTGGCAAACCTGCAAAGCATTTTCACTTGTAACTCAATTGCCCTCGCTCACTGGTCCATTGTGAGATTCTCCATACCCTAGCAGGCATAGGTGAAATTTGAAGTTTTTCAATAAGCCTATGGCCGTTATCTAATTAGACATGCCAAAATTTTCTGAGCAAAATCAAACTTTTTCCTCTATGCTTTGTATGCAACTATCAATAGGTGAAATGAATCTGAAATGTTCTGCAGCTAAGCATCCAGCTAATTCACTACCTGTCTTTGCCTGTTATTAGTGCTGTAAGTCTAAAAGTAGTTTTGCAATTTTCACATTAGAAGCTCTAAACAAGAAGTTTCTCTATAATATTTTCCAATTGATCCCTTTTTCTTTTTAAGAAGCCTGCAATTTATCTTTTCATTTCATGCAGAACTAACTGACAGGCCATCTTTCAAATAGTTTTAGCTTCCTTATAGCATGGCTTAATCTAGGGAAGCTGGAATGGCCAAGGGGCAAGGGGACAGGCTGAGTGTAAAAGAGCATTTAATAAATAATTCCAAGCTTTTACTTATTCTTTTGTAACTGTCATTTTATTTCAATTTTTATAGGTATCTTTATAGGTAAAAATGGGCTAACTACTGTCATAAGAAATTTTTGTACAAGTTTAAAAAATTCTTCATGGATAAGATACTATAGTGAGAATTTCATATGAATCTCTTTGATAAGTACAAAAGGCAGATGACAAGGGCACTTTTATGAAAAAGACACTTGGGCCTCTACTTGCCCCTCCTATCAAAGAACAAAAATCGTTGACACCCTGCACCCCTGCTTCAACAACCCTGGCTTAATCTCTGAAAACAAGCCACCTTCTTGCACTGAATGTAAATTAGTTATGTCAGCCTTCAAATGGTTAAAGCTGGCCATGCTATTAGTTTCCTAAACCTAATGTTTTCACAGCTGTTTCCATTAGTATTTAAAAAAAGCAAAAACCCAAATTTTAAATAACATCTTTATATTGGAAACATTAACAACATAAAAGGAGCAAAATCAATAATTTTTGCTTTTCCGTTTAGTAAATTGGCTGTCTCTCATATGGTTTGCTTGGTATATTTTCTCATCTGATTAGCAACACAACTGAAAAGCAACTTGAACTGTTAACCAGCTGGCCAAAAGGCAACCCAGCATCAAAAATACTGGTTTACATCAAGTGTATTGTGGTTTAGCTGTTCACATTGATTCTGTTCCTACAACACAAAAGAGTTCATTTTTTCTGAGTTTCCATGCCAGTTTTTTCTGAGTTTCCATGGTTGTGGTTATGTAGGACGCACAAAAGATCAGGGGACAGAATGATCCTTCAATAAAATAGCATGATCCTTCCAACATAAGAAACAACCCTCACCCCTCCTCTATAAAACAGCTACCTTGACTTTGGAGATTGGACAGCATTTACTAAATAACCAAGATTGCATGAAAAAATGATGTTCATTTTTTGAATTATTGGTAGAGCTCCATCTTCTATCCATTTTGCAGTTTTAGAATCAATTAACATAAAAATAAAACAACACTTTAATTTTCACTCTTGGACTCATTTGTAATATTTTCCACAAGCAATTGGCATTGATTGAGTCGCAGTCATGTGCTCTTTTTCTGATTGGCGTAATTATAGCCAAGAGTTTGTATATATATTTTCTAACTTGGAGTTTTCAATCTATGTTCTGATGTTTTATACTTTAAAAAGTGCCAAACACAAAGCTTTTCTATGTTTCATAATATTTTATTTTTCAAAGCTATTTTTATATTCTGTACTACCAAAAAGTTTTGTACTGGGCTACATTTGATCTGCATGTCAAATAATTTGATCTGATAAATTGGACTGTTGTCAGTTTGTTTTGGAACATCAATCTGATAAATTGGACTGTTGTCGGTTTGTTTTGGATGGTACATCTTGTGTTTCAGTCAAAGAGGGGATGTATTATACATGGAAGACACAATATGAATAAACATAAGCCAATTGCTCTATATTTTTTATATTTGGCAACTTGAAGCAAATTATTCCCCTTAATTTGAGTCCACTGAATATTGGAATTTAATTATCTGCCTTATTTTTTAGGCAACCGTGAAATTGAATAATGGAACTCAAATGCCAGTAATTGGCTTAGGGTAAGTTATCATAACTTTGATGTTTGGTAGATATTTTCAACATCATATGATATCCCGTATCCTTCAATTGGTATCCAGCAACCCTTTTTCAACCGACTCTTCATGATCTTTAAAGCTCTTTGGACACTTGAATGGTTAGGTTTTTTTACCTTGAACGGAAGTTTTGTTCTTTTTTACCTTTTACTGTTTCATGATGTTATGAACATTTAGATTTTTTATCTTGGACTTAAATTTCATCATTCTTGATACCTCTTCCCTAATTTTGTTTAGAACCTGGCTGTCTGATAAAGGAAAAGCTGGAGAAGCAGTAAAGTTTGCGCTGGAAAATGGCTACAAGCACATAGATTGTGCACACATTTATCAAAATGAGGCTGAAATTGGGGAATATATGAGCGAAGTTTGGAAGGCAGGAAAAGTTAAGAGAGAAGATGTTTATATTGTTTCAAAATTATGGTAAGAAGGTTTGATTTTTCGTTTTTGTTGCATTGTTCTCGATTTTTGTCTTTCAGCGTATCTATTAGAGTAACAGCAGTGGGACTAGGAGTTGTTGTCAAAATGGAATAGATTTTGATTTGTTGGACAGAAAGCTAGATGCCCCTAAAACAATTGTTTTTTTAATATCAGTTATTGAGTTCAGTTTTGTTGTGAACAAATTTGGTAGACGGGAAGAATGAACTCCATATTTTTGTTGGGAAAAGTATACTGTTTACTCACTAGGCAGTTGAATGATAAATGTGCCCATTCATTAAATACCATTGTCACAATAAGGCACTCAGGACTCGTAGTTAGATAAATTTGTTCCTTTCAAACATATGCTTGCTTTATGTTGATATTATGAGTAGAAACCCAAAATTATATCAGAAAAGAATTGGCAGTTTTTATATCAACATGCTACTTCATTTTTAGTTATTAGTCGTTTCTTTGATTTTTCTTAACTTTTTTATTTTTGCCATTTTTATAGATTTCACCACGGTCATTGCTCTCGGGAGATCAGAGATATGATCCCAGGTCTCATGAGATATACACAAAATACCAGACACTCTTCCATTGCTCACTTTTCCCAAGTATCTTTGTCTAACTCACGAAATTAATCCAACAACTCTTCCTTTTTCCTAAATCTTGTAAACTCTGGATGCTCTACCCCTTTCCTGTTTAACTGACTCTTACAACCTGTCTTTATTCAAAACAGAAGTAAACAGGCTTGATCTTTCTTGTCTTGCTTCCTAATCCTTTCTCCCTTTCCCTTGTTCTCATGAGGCTCATGAGCCTTCCCCTGACATCATCAACTAAAATAAACTTAGTGTCTACTTGAATCAATCACGAGACGCGATACTTAACTTTTCAATTTATCTACTTAACTAAATCAAGACAAAATTTTTGGACAAAATACTTTAATGTTTTACTTATACTAACAAACAAGACTCTCATCTATTATCAAGCACACGCAGTTGAAATGACAGTTCCCAAGAAAGATCACTTCAGAAAATGCCTTTCTCTGCAGACTGGTAAACACTCCTTAAACCTGTAGGCCTGTAGGCCAATGGAAGAGGGGTGTTCCGTTAAAAGAGATTAAACTAAGATTCTATCATAAAAAGTGATACCCATAATCCAACACATTAAAGTTTTTTAGTATGAGTGTTATTTCTATTTTAGGTCTAGTTACCAAGCCAAGGAAGATGTTGTTGATGCCTGCAGAGTCACTTTGAAAAATCTGCAGCTGGAGTACCTAGACCTGTACCTAGTAAGTTCACAAATTGGCTCTTTGTTGCTATTTCGTTTGTTATTTCCTGTGTATATATTATAAAAGGTTTTTATTAACACAGTTTTTTATATTTTTAAATGATACATCGTGTGAGCAGATGCCAATTTGCAGAATTTTTTTTATTCTATTTCTCTTTGAAAGTAGTAAATTTTCATAATTCTCATGATATACAAAAATCGCCCTTTTTCGTAACTGTAACTTGTCCAACGAAAGGAAAGGAATCAATGAGGTATTCCCATTTGGCCCGTTAGCAAAGAGTGACCCGCGGGTAAATAACCTCTTTTTAAGTTTTGACTCTCAATAACATAGTGATTTTAAGAAAAAAACTCATATTCGTACAGGGAAAGTCTAACAATGCTTTACGACTATAAGTAGAAATTAAATACGTCTATGAATTTTATATTCAAATGAAGCCAACTGCACTGGATGTTTTTTGCGTGGATGGAACCCTAAAAATAGGCTTGACCGCGGGACCCGCGGGACCCATGCCGGTGCGACTGTATCATATCCAAGTAGTTAGTTAAATTGGATGAATCGGAATTTCTTTCAAATCAAAAACTGAAAGCCAAAATCCTGAAATACTTTAATGCTATTTTCAATCCTTTATCGAGATTTCAAAATTCTTTTTCGTTTACTTGTTCTGTTATTTATACTTATTCTATTATAAAGTTTGTATTTGTTCATCTGTAATCGTTTCTCCTTGCTATTTTGTAGATACATGTTCCGTGCCAGCTAGACAAAAGTTTAGGGGATACCGTTCCAGGCGCAGATAAGAAAGGGTTGATTGGCTACACTGCAGAACGAATGAGAGAAACTTGGGAGGTATATATGTTAATTGTTTGGTAATTTATGCGGAATATTTATACATATATCAGTTGTGCGTACGGGCAGAATAGAGGAGAAAGGAACTTACTGTAGAAAATAAAAAACGTATTAAGTCCATTAGGATTAAGTGTAAAATGAGTTGGTAAAAGTTAGTCGTTTCTCTATGGTCTTGCGTAACAACCAAACGTAACTAACATATTTTATTGTATATGTACGTACGGCTGTAATTATTTATGTTTTCGGTCACTGGTATTTCAGCCAATGATTTCAAGAGATCCTGTCTGTTATACAACAAATTACATTTAGGTAACCTGGAACCTTTCTTGAGTTTAAAACCTATAATTTAAAACACACAGACACGATTATAAGTTGTTCTTACAACGTGCAATCAACATAAAGCAAGGTGTGCCAACTAGATTCTGGTGCCATCTGTAAGAGCAGAGGTGTTGTTTATCAAATGAAATTTCAATGGTGCACCAGATAAGGAAACAATGGCGGGCTTATAATTGGTATAACGTCGAGAAGCATAGGAGAAAAAATAAACGAACATGTATGTTGGGAAAGAACAAGACCTCAATTTTACACAATCACGTGGAAGAAAAACACGACGAAAAGAGACATATTAGAACTACTTTCAAACTACGTACAATTAGAACTACCTTCGTCTTGTGGCAATAATGCGATGCTTAGACAGGTAACATAGGCCGTATCAAATTCGATCGATTAGCCATGATCTACAAAATTATGAACAGGATGTGCCCAGAGAGCCTGTTGGATAACTTTCCTTTGACATTCTTGCACTACAGAGCAATCAACTGCAAGGATAACCTTGAGTATGTGACAAAAGGCTTTCACTATTCAGCTCTTACTGCGTGGAACAGCTTGCCTATCTCAATTAGCGAACTGCCAACCCTCCCGCACTTTAAAAGAAAATTAAAATCATATTTTAAGAGCCGAAACGAAACTAAATCAAAACACGACTCCCCGAAAGAGCAGCAAATAGGCCCTAACAATTGATTGTATTTAGATTGTAAATTTGATTTAATTAGTGTTATGCTGAAGGGATTTTTAGTGTATAACTAATTTTATATTAATATAATATGATATGAATATTCATTAAAGAGCTAGAGCCGGAACTGAATACCAAGGAAGAATTTGAAAATTAAATGCTCTATGCCAGAAACGAATCGACGTGACGAGTTGATGTTTGAAGCAATGAATCTATCGAATCTGAACCTAACGAACGTTAGAAAAGCACAAAGGTTTCACTAAATTTTTACTGAGGATTTTTTCTTTATAAGAAAAAATGGTCGTGTAGGTGTGTGTTTAATTATGCTTTTAAACTCACTATAGGTACCCAGTTACCTAAATATTATTCGCAAATATTTAAATATACAAGTTTATGATTTTAGGTAAAATGCTTTTTAATCTCCTACTCCTTCTCTAGTGTTCCAATCCTTTCGGCATTCCACTTCTCTCCTGTTATATTAATCGATCTTTTCATTTTCTTACCCCTTTTCATATTGTACTTTGCTGTTAATAATGAAGGGTTAAGCCTGAAACTTTTGATAATCAAACATTTGAAAATATTTGAAATTAGCTTGCCGTTGTTTAATAGCATTATATGTCATCAAGAAGGGTGAATTTTTGTGCGAAAGGGTGCAAGACAGTTTGAAATACTGTGTCTTATTTTTTTGGTTTTAGGCAATGGAAAAGTTAGTAGAGATGGGGCTTGTAAAATCAATTGGAGTTAGCAACTTTACAACAAAGAAGTTGAAAGAGTTAATGCCCTATGTCAAAATCAAGCCAGTATGCAACCAGGGTGAGTTGTAATTGTGAGAATAAGAAACATTTTTTTTATTTGAAAAAAACTTCTACTCTCATTGACAAATACAAGGAAAGTGCTACTTATTATCCCATTGGTTGGTTTAATGGATTTATTCTTGACAGTGAAAACTAACTTCCCTATTTCAGCTGTTTGTTATAAATGTGTTATTATGTTGCTGAGATATGGCCACGTGAACACAGGCTCCATCAGACCTCTATAATTTGGTCTATAATTTGGTCTCTGTTTTGTTAGCAATTTCTAACCTTTCATAGGGCAAATCCCAGCCGATTTTTGACATTTTTAGATGATCTTCCACAATTTGAATGTGGTTAAAAATCAAATATTCTAAAAATAGTTTTTGTGACGTCACACTTCAGAACTCATTTGCAGCTGTTTTTGATGTTCTAGAAAAGAGACATTTGTAAATCACTGTCAAATGCAGATAATTTTCTAGAGACAAAGGAAGATATTTTTACTTCATTGTTTTGAATTGATTCCAATGATGCCATCGTTTATTGTTTCGTATACTTTGTTTCAGTCGAGCTTCACCCATACCTGCCACAGCCAAAACTGATTGATTGTTGCAAAGAATACGGTATGTGAGATTTATCATATTTCATATGATAAAAATAAATTTTAAAGTTTCTCTTTAAAAGCTTTTTTAAATTCCGTATATGATTGACTGATTTTGTCCTCATTGCCCCTGGCACTTAGCTGAAAAATCTTCAAAAAGGTTGTAACAGAGTTCCTTACAATAACAACAACATTATAAATCGCATTCATAATGACATCATCACGGGCTCCATCCACCTTTTTGCCCCAGGCCCCACAGTAGCTCACTGCGGGTCCAAGCGGCACTGCGTGAATCCAGATGCGTTTGCTGCGCTTTTGATATTTTCTTTTGCGCAACATGCGTACGCAGCTTAGCAAGTGGTCTAATTGGCTAAAAATCTCTATTATCATTTGCATCTGATGTTTGGCCCTTTTTTGTCCCTTATTAGGGATCGTCTGCGCTGCGTACTCGCCTATCGGAGCTCCAAACAGGCCAGAATTTTTCAAAGAAAATTCGCACCCGATTCTCCTTGAAGACGACGTTGTGACGTCAATTGCTGAGAAGCACAAAGCAACTCCTGCTCAGGTGAGGAAATATTTGTACCAACCTTCGACAATACAAAAAGGGCATTTGCCCCTTTCTATCTCTTAGCTGTTCCAGTCCCAGTTAGTTTAGCGCTTAACTCAGTGTTATCTCTTCCAATCATCTACTTTACTGTTTCTACCACTTTGATATATACAGAAGCCAAAAATCGTTTATCTTTTCTTTCTTCCTTAAGCTCTGGTGATTGAGTTTTTAATGTGGCATTTCAGTTTCTTTGTTCATGTCACCGTCCATTAAGTTTACAAAAGGTTACCTCACTCATTGAGATTGTTCGTCTCCCCAGCAAGAAGTGTCTTCAAAACATTTGATATAAGGCTTTTGAAAGCAAATTGTCGGCAATGATTATTTCTGGACGAGGATCTTTTCCTTGGGAAATCCAAACTTTTGAGTCGTAGCTTCAGAATTTCATTGATATTATACTGGAGTTAGAGACATCATCATTGATATAATCATTGCCTACGAAATGTTTTATGATCATGTTAATACGATGTGTATTGCATTCCAAATGTGCATTTTCATTATTGATGTTGCTCTGAAATTTTTGTAAGAATCATTAATGGCTTTTTCCAGTCGCCTACTGTCCACATGAGCGCATAATGTCCCATAGGCAGAGCATTGCTCAATTTGGTGTGCAAAGCACGTCTGGTCCTAGTAGTCACTTAAGAAAGTTCCTATTGAAAATGATACAATTTGTGCCATCAATGAAATGTAGTACTTCTTTCTTTAGGTTGCACTTGCTTGGGGAATCCAGCGTGGAACACCAGTTCTTCCCAAATCAGTCACACCATCACGAATCGTAGAAAATCTGCAGGCAGGAGAGCTACACCTAGATGCTGATGATATGTCGAGAATCAGTGACGTAAAGCCAAGAGCAAGACTTGTGGACCAGCGTTGGGGAGTTCCAATGAATTGCACCATTGAAGATATCTGGGATGGAGAATATCTTTGCTGATGAAAAGGAACGAAACATATGATAACATAGAATGTTCACAATAAATAATCATGAAAATAAATATTATTGAAATGCATATCCAAAGAGTTACAAAGATTTTTATGTAATTGTGTTTTTAAACATGAATTTCAATGAGAAATTATAAAGACTACAAATATTCGTTTGTTTGACTATTTTCTGAAGAAAAATTTCCAGTGTCTTAAAAAGGGATTTTCAATGTTAAAAACACTTTGTAATCTAATATTGATAAGATTTTTGTATGATATATTTTACGGCACAGACAAATAACATTCGGTACCTTGACAATCACCCATTAGTGTACCGATGCATAATGATTGAACTTTTACTTGATTAAACTTTTTTTTGGAAATTTTTTTGTTCTAGAAACAAGTCAATTATCTTCTCTATAATCAGAAAGAGGTAGAATTGTATTTAGTTCGGTGAAAAAGTCTTTTTCTGAAGAATGTGGCGTGTTTAAAGAGGGGGATGATTTTTGATAAAAAAGTAAGGCTATAGGCTTAGAAAAATCATCGATTTTTTTGGAAATTTTTTTGTTCTAGAAACTAGTCAATTATCTTCTCTATAATCAGAAGGAGGTAGAATTGTATTTAGTTCGGTGAAAAAGTCTTTTTTTGAAGAATATGGCGTCTTTTAAGAGGGGCAAGATTTTTGATAAAAAAGTAAGGCTATAGGCTTAGAAAAATCATGGATTTTTTTGGAAATTTTTTTATTTTAGAAACAAGTCAATTATCTTCTCTATAATCAGAAAGAGGTATAATTGTATTTAGTTCGGTGAAAGAGTCTTTTTCTGAAGAATGTGGCGTGTTTTAAGAGGGGCATGATTTTTGATAAAAAAGTAAGGCTAAAGGCTTAGAAAAATCATCGATTTTTTTGGAAATGTTTTTGTTCTAGAAACAAGTCAATCATCTTCTCTACAATTAGAAAGAGGTATAATTGTATTTAGTTCGGTGAAAAAGTCTTTTTCTGAAAAATGTGGCGTGTTTTAAGAGGGGCATGATTTTTGATAAAAAAGTAAGGCTATAGGCTTAGAAAAATCATCGATTTTTTTGGAAATTTTTTTGTTCTAGAAACAAGTCAATCATCTTCTCTATAATCAGAAAGAGGTAGAATTGTATTTAGTTTGGGGAGAAAGTCTTTTTCTGAAGAATATGGCGTCTTTGAAGAGGGGATGATTTTTGATAAAAAAGTAAGGCTATAGGCTTAGAAAAATCATCGATTTTTTTGGAAATTTTTTTGTTCTAGAAACAAGTCAATCATCTTCTCTATAATCAGAAAGAGGTAGAATTGTATTTAGTTTGGAGAAAAAGTCTTTTTTTGAAGAATGTGGCGTCTTTAAAGAGGGGATGATTTTTCATAAAAAAGTAAGGCTAAAGGCTTAGAAAAATCATCGATTTTTTTGGAAATTTTTTTGTTCTAGAAACAAGTCAATCATCTTCTCTATAATCAGAAAGAGGTAGAATTATATTTAGTTTGGGGAAAAAGTCTTTTTTTGAAGAATGTGGCGTCTTTGAAGAGGGGATGATTTTTGATAAAAAAGTAAGGCTAAAGGCTTAGAAAAATCATCGATTTTTATGGAAATTTTTTTGTTCTAGAAACAAGTCAATCATCTTCTCTATAATTAGAAAGAGGTAGAATTGTATTTAGTTTGGGGAAATAGTCTTTTTCTGAAAAATGTGGCGTGTTTTAAGAGGGGCATGATTTTTGATAAAAAAGTAAGGCTAAAGGCTTAGAAAAATCATCATTTTTTTGGAATTTTTTTTGTTCTGGAAACAAGTCAATCATCTTCTCTATAATCAGAAAGAGGTATAATTGTATTTAGTTCGGTGAAAAAGTCTTTTTCTGAAGAATGTGGCGTGTTTTAAGAGGGGCATGATTTTTGATAAAAAAGTAAGGCTAAAGGCTTAGAAAAATCATCGATTTTTATGGAAATTTTTTTGTTCTAGAAACAAGTCAATCATCTTCTCTATAATTAGAAAGAGGTAGAATTGTATTTAGTTTGGGGAAATAGTCTTTTTCTGAAGAATGTGGCGTGTTTTAAGAGGGGCATGATTTTTGATAAAAAAGTAAGGCTAAAGGCTTAGAAAAATCATCGATTTTTATGGAAATTTTTTTATTCTAGAAACAAGTCAATCATCTTCTCTATAATTAGAAAGAGGTAGAATTGTATTTAGTTTGGGGAAATAGTCTTTTTCTGAAGAATGTGGCGTGTTTTAAGAGGGGCATGATTTTTGATAAAAAAGTAAGGCTAAAGGCTTAGAAAAATCATCGATTTTTTTGGAATTTTTTTTGTTCTGGAAACAAGTCAATCATCTTCTCTATAATCAGAAAGAGGTATAATTGTATTTAGTTCGGTGAAAAAGTCTTTTTCTGAAGAATGTGGCGTGTTTTAAGAGGGGCATGATTTTTGATAAAAAAGTAAGGCTATAGGCTTAGTAAAATCATCGATTTTTATGGAAATTTTTTTGTTCTAGAAACAAGTCAATCATCTTCTCTATAATTAGAAAGAGGTAGAATTGTATTTAGTTTGGGGAGAAAGTCTTTTTCTGAAGAATGTGGCGTGTTTTAAGAGGGGCATGATTTTTGATAAAAAAGTAAGGCTATAGGCTTAGTAAAATCATCGATTTTTATGGAAATTTTTTTGTTCTGGAAACAAGTCAATCATCTTCTCTATAATCAGAAAGAGGTAGAATTGTATTTAGTTCGGTGAAAAAGTCTTTTTCTGAAGAATGTGGCGTGTTTTAAGAGGGGCATGATTTTTGATAAAAAAGTAAGGCTAAAGGCTTAGAAAAATCATCGCTTTTTTTGGAAATTTTTTTGTTCTAGAAACAAGTCAATCATCTTCTCTATAATCAGAAAGAGGTAGAATTGTATTTAGTTTGGTGAAAAAGTCTTTTTCTTAAGAATGTGGCGTGTTTTAAGAGGGGCATGATTTTTGATAAAAAAGTAAGGCTAAAGGCTTAGAAAAATCATCGCTTTTTTGGAAATTTTTTTGTTCTAGAAACAAGTCAATCATCTTCTCTATAATCAGAAAGAGGTAGAATTGTATTTAGTTTGGGGAAAAAGTCTTTTTTTGAAGAATGTGGCGTGTTTTAAGAGGGGCATGATTTTTGATAAAAATGTAATGCTAAAGGCTTAAAAAAATCATAGATTTTTTTGGAAATTTTTTTGTTCTAGAAACTAGTCAATCATCTTCTCTATAATCAGAAAGAGGTAGAATTATATTTAGTTTGGGGAAAAAGTCTTTTTTTGAAGAATGTGGCGTCTTTGAAGAGGGGATGATTTTTGATAAAAAAGTAAGGCTATAGACTTAGAAAAATCATCGATTTTTTTGGAAATTTTTTTGTTCTAGAAACTAGTCAATCATCTTCTCTATAATTAGAAAGAGGTAGAATTGTATTTAGTTTGGTGAAAAAGTCTTTTTCTTAAGAATGTGGCGTCTTTGAAGAGGGGATGATTTTTGATAAAAAAGTAAGGCTAAAGGCTTAGAAAAATCATCGATTTTTATGGAAATTTTTTTGTTCTAGAAACAAGTCAATCATCTTCTCTATAATCAGAAAGAGGTAGAATTGTATTTAGTTTGGAGAAAAAGTCTTTTTTTGAAGAATGTGGCGTCTTTAAAGAGGGGATGATTTTTGATTAAAAATGTAAGGCTAAAGGCTTAAAAAAATCATCGATTTTTTTGGAATTTATTTTGTTCTAGAAACAAGTCAATCATCTTCTCTATAATCAGAAAGAGGTAGAATTATATTTAGTTTGGGGAAAAAGTCTTTTTTTGAAGAATGTGGCGTCTTTGAAGAGTGGATGATTTTTGATAAAAAAGTAAGGCTAAAGGCTTAGAAAAATCATCGATTTTTATGGAAATTTTTTTGTTCTAGAAACAAGTCAATCATCTTCTCTATAATCAGAAAGAGGTAGAATTGTATTTAGTTTGGAGAAAAAGTCTTTTTTTGAAGAATGTGGCGTCTTTAAAGAGGGGATGATTTTTGATAAAAATGTAAGGCTAAAGGCTTAAAAAAATCATCGATTTTTTTGGAATTTATTTTGTTCTAGAAACAAGTCAATCATCTTCTCTATAATCAGAAAGAGGTAGAATTATATTTAGTTTGGGGAAAAAGTCTTTTTTTGAAGAATGTGGCGTCTTTGAAGAGGGGATGATTTTTGATAAAAAAGTAAGGCTAAAGGCTTAGAAAAATCATCGATTTTTATGGAAATTTTTTTGTTCTAGAAACAAGTCAATCATCTTCTCTATAATTAGAAAGAGGTAGAATTGTATTTAGTTTGGGGAAAAAGTCTTTTTCTGAAAAATGTGGCGTGTTTTAAGAGGGGCATGATTTTTGATAAAAAAGTAAGGCTAAAGGCTTAGAAAAATCATCATTTTTTTGGAATTTTTTTTGTTCTGGAAACAAGTCAATCATCTTCTCTATAATCAGAAAGAGGTATAATTGTATTTAGTTCGGTGAAAAAGTCTTTTTCTGAAGAATGTGGCGTGTTTTAAGAGGGGCATGATTTTTGATAAAAAAATAAGGCTAAAGGCTTAGATAAAATTATCGATTTTTATGGAAATTTTTTTGTTCTAGAAACAAGTCAATCATCTTCTCTTTAATTAGAAAGAGGTAGAATTGTATTTAGTTTGGGGAAATAGTCTTTTTCTGAAGAATGTGGCGTGTTTTAAGAGGGGCATGATTTTTGATAAAAAAGTAAGGCTATAGGCTTAGAAAAATCATCGATTTTTATGGAAATTTTTTTGTTCTAGAAACAAGTCAATCATCTTCTCTATAATCAGAAAGAGGTAGAATTGTATTTAGTTTGGGGGGAAAGTCTTTTTCTGAAGAATGTGGCGTGTTTTAAGAGGGGCATGATTTTTCATAAAAAAGTAAGGCTAAAGGCTTAGAAAAATCATCGATTTTTTTGGAATTTTTTTTGTTCTGGAAACAAGTCAATCATCTTCTCTATAATCAGAAAGAGGTATAATTGTATTTAGTTCGGTGAAAAAGTCTTTTTCTGAAGAATGTGGCGTGTTTTAAGAGCGGCATGATTTTTGATAAAAAAGTAAGGCTATAGGCTTAGTAAAATCATCGATTTTTATGGAAATTTTTTTGTTCTAGAAACAAGTCAATCATCTTCTCTATAATCA